TCTCGCGACAGTGGCCTTGATATCATTAAAGATCAGTCTTTTATTCCTGCACAAGAGGATTGGCACTGGCATGTACTGACCCTTGGTTGCGCTGGTGACAGTTTCAATTGTAACTTTCTCGATAACCCTGGTTGACGTGGGAAGGGTCTGATCTCTGCATCAGTATGTCTATCTTGTGCACAAGGACTTTGCGACTGAAACTCACCACGACCGAAGTGGAGACAATCTCGTTCGTGATGGTTTTGGTGGATCTTGGTACATAGATAATCTTGGCTTTGTCTTCAACACCACACTGTGTGATGTGACCAGCGCAAGGTACCATCACCTTTTCGTCCGGCCGGATGACATTGGTATCGCGCGCCCTTGCGGAAGTGGTCGAGCTCGACCCTGAGATGATAGCAGCATTGGCATCGCCAGACTCTGTCCTTTGTTACTGAAGGTCCTTGTATGATTGTGTTCTGGAGTCGCGTCTAGGGATAACTTACCTCTCACAGCAGACGCGAAGCCGGCGAGACAAAGAGTAGCCATAATGGCAGCACGGGGCAGAGATTGAGAAAACATTGTGAAGAGCTTTGTAAGAGTGCGAAGTGATGAGAAGGAGAATGAAGATGGGGAGAAATTTTGCGACTGTAGATTCACTTGGCTGGTTTAAAAAGAATGAGGGGACAGGAGGATTATCAGAACGACCTCAGCTTCGAAAAATAATGCAGCTCGATAGCTCTACTGAGCTACAGAGCTTACCCAGGGTCCAAGCCACCTAGCCAGGGTCTGGATCTAGCAATGGAACCTTCCTAGCCTGCAACTGCCCTCGAATGAATTGAGTTTCGGCTAAGTGTCAGCTATCTACAAAGTAGGTCTCTTTCATGGACCTTTGGGGCGTCCGATGCAGAGTATCGTAGGGCTTGTGCACTTCAGCGCTAAAGCAATCATCAAACTATGTGAGGTGATAGCTGTGATACTAGCGATTGAGTGCAGGCTATAGTGCATCTTCAGGTCCAGTCCACTTCAAAAAGTCAGCCCATTTACCCCAAAATGCACTTCTGAAGAGAGGAGTATTGCTAAAGTGGCTGGCTAGTCTCAACTGAGGCTGGCTGGCATGACGCGTAGCATCCCGGCTATCTACAGTCTAGACTGATTAGGACCAAGCCACAGCGGACAACGGCTCAAAATGGGTCTCAAACGGGCACGATTGGTGTTTCCCCTCATCCAATTCCAGAGCTGAATATTCATTTTCGGAAACCAGCTACGCCTCAAAAGCTACTGTACACAAACTATTGGCGCACAATGTGCTGCGCATAGTAGCTCGAGCTGGATGGTCTAGTGCGCAGCGACACGGCGCCTCGGAGGGACATAATTTGGGTGATAGTGAGATCACCATTACATCGCTGGGCAGGGTCACTGAATTTGGAAGTGTTAGGCGAACTCGTCGTGAGTCTCTCTTATGTCTTGTGTTGAGTAGTCCATTTGAGGCCTTCCCTATGGCCTGCCGCAAGTCTCTTTGCATCACGAGAGACGCTATCGGACGCCATGCAACGCAGCCACAGAGATAGACTCACAAAACAACAACATGCAGTAGTTCCTGAAGTACCTCGATGTGACTAGATTAGTGTCGGGCTGAATGCACATGCATTCAAAGATCCGAGCGCAAGCTTCATTGATCAGGTTAGCCAGCCTCCAAAGTATCAGATCCGACGCATAGCCGGAAATAGGACATACTGTCATCTGATTGCTCTGGTTTTGGGTCGTGGTCACGTCGTTCTGAGACGAGCTGCCTCTATTCGTAGCCATAGCCACAGTGTAGAGCCAATGCGAGGATGTTTATGCACGCACGAGGGGTATTGGAGGACTTGCCAAAGCAGACATGAATGAGGCTCAGGAATCTATAAAAGCAGGCGCTCTCCTCGTGTCATAAACTTGAATGATTGTTCTCATCACATCACTTCCAACCTACAGCCATCAACAGAATTACGAGTGACCAAAATTTGCAATACAAAGTTTCTACCAACCATGGCATCTGCAGAGGCATTCAAAGAGCTCCCGAGGGACATCGCTGCGGTAGATGTGAAGGGCAAGACCTATGTGTTCTTTGTCAACTCGAACCACCAACTTTGCTACCTTGTATCTCCTGGAGCGGGAACCGACGACTATGACCCTAAACTCGTCGAGCTCACAGACGGAGACCTAAAGGTCAAGTGCGGCAGCAGACAGATCGCCGCAGCAGCTTGGCAGGGAGGAAATGGTCAAGAGGTGAGTCTCATCACCAGCTTGTATGAAGCACTCTGACCCTATAGATCCGCATCTACTGCATTGCTCCTGAAAAGGGACAATGTGAGAACAAGGGGTATATCCAAGAGGTCTCTTTCAGCGCTAGCACTGGATGGGAGCATGGTCTTCTTGGCTACAAGGAGGAGGACAGGCCGTACGTTGATAAAGATGCCTCACTAACAGCATCCGTTCACGCCTGGCCTGACAAGACGGATATAAAGGTTTTCGCCTCTGGAAAGGGCGAGAATGGACGCCCTAAGATTACTATGCATCAGTACAGCTATGGCCACAAGAAGTGGCTGGGCAAGGTTATCAGTAACAAGGTCTCGGATTGGTAGGAGTTTGGTGAGGGGAATATTGGCGGGGCCCTTTAGAGGTAGTGATGCATCGGAGTTGTTGAATTCATGCTGTTTTGTTGGTGTCGGGTTGACTTAACAAAGGGTGCAATATCAGCAGGTATCTATTGAGGAGATAGATTCGGGGAACAAAGTTGGGCCCAAGTCTAGAACGTCGAGCCTGATGCAACTTAGTGATAACGAGGGTCAACAAGCCAAATGGTTTGAACTGTGAACTTAACTAGATAGTCTCGTATAACCCATACCTAGGATAGAGGGTTCAATTGTACTAAGGCTTGTGAATGACAATCCAGATCCGTGATCGGCTGACCGGTCTAGATCAGATCATACGCTCCTTTGGCTACCGAATACCTAAAAAGCTGCCCCGAATAAGATGAACGCCGCAAAGGTCTATCCAATAATTTTTGTTTAACAATGTAATACTGCAGCTGAAAATACCAACGTAGCCTAGTCGGCATTTACCAACTGTTGCTCTCTTTAGCTTCCGACACCTGCAGGGTCTCGACGCTCGTCACTAGCTGCTCAGCACGCCACTGTCCACCGCCAAAGCTTATCGCTTGCAAGGGTTCTCCAAGCTACGTCTTTTAGGAGGCTGACTGAAGCTCTCTCTTGTATCTCGTAGCGATATTTTTCGGGATATGCAGCACCTTGGTTAGTTCAGCGTCGAGGTGCGCGAAAGAGCCTAGATGCACCATTTCAGCCAGCCTCAAATGCCCCGATAAATCACCCCAGGTTCCAGCCACGATAGACCTGCATCCTTATCACCCAACTATTTGCCATAGATCGTCAATAGTCTACGACCCGTCACCCCGCGAATCCGGCATCGGCACAGCGGCCACTAGTGCAAAGCTTATCAATGAAGAATGAAGCTCGGACATTGGTTCCCCAAGTTAGGCCGTTGGGGGTGTTGTACCGCTCGGACCGTTCCCGTTCTGGCACGAATTCGTAGTCTGAAACCTTCTAGAGCAGTTTGGGAGCCTCAGCCAGCCTCAGTGAAAGCCGGAATACGATATCGATTTACGAAAAGCATAGTCTTCCGCGCTCCAGCATCCTTTCATACTAGTCACACTGCGCTTCTCATTGGAGTCAGTGGCGTGTCCACCTGACTGCAACAGCGCTTCTCGCCGAATCTCCGATACCATTGTCAGGGGCGGGCATTGAGTTCAACTACCCCTCAATCGCAGTTCAACGGACCATCGGTACAGTGTCCATCATAATCTTCTAATTGTGAAGCCATAGCAGCCCTAAGAAACGGCTCTCGTATACGAGTACACTGGCCATCGCATTTGGACATAAACAGAGAGCTGCTATTCAGCCATGATTGGTCTTCCGTGGCCATCAGCTCTCGATGCGTGTGAAGGTTTGTCAGTATGATTCATCTGCCAATCAAAAGACAGCCAAGGCAGCTCAATAACCATCCAACTTTGTACAGTCTGGACTGATCATCATCGGGGCTAAGAACACTAAAGAAGATGGCTTCCGCGAGATCAGATAGCCTCCCTTAGCAGCTATTTTCAAAATTCCCGTTAGATTCTTTCTCTGCTGAGAGGACGAACGAGCGGGGGAGGGGCCGTGGCTCGCAGCTTCGGATCTGCGCCCACTTCCCAGGGGAAGCCGATATTGATATGGGACACTCTAGGGCGAAAACAACAGTGCTTTGCAGTACGCAAGCCTATACACTCGGAAGGGAAACATTTCCTCCGGCGGAGATTTCTTCCATGTGTTTCGGAATTGTCTCTTGGCAGTAGATTGCCCCTTTTCAATGATCCTTTTTACGTGACCAGGCTCAACGTTAGCCTCTATTCGGTAACTTCAGATGGAGGGCCCGATTCTTGATGCACCATGATCGTCACCACCATCACAGCTTCTAGTGTTCCAAAGTTCGCTGTATAGATAGTTCTTGGTTACTTAATAGTGACTAGCTGGAAACATGTCCAAGTCTTTAATTTGGTGCCTGATTTGCCGATATCGATCACATACGGGTTGATGAAGCTCAGTTATTGGCCGCTGAAAGTTCTCTTCTTCTCAACATAGCTAGTTGTTGCTTAAGGTGCTTAGCAGAAAGCTTGCGTAGCTAGCTGATACTCCAACGTGTAGAGAACACTGGACGAGCACACATCCGCTAAGTTGGGATACTCTACCCCTTTTCTCATGATCTTATTCGTCATTTGTCCACACCAACTACTACACAAAACTATCCACTTACCTATTCACGAATCCTCATCAGTAGGTCTGCCACATGTTATAGCTCAATCATGTATTCCGAGATGATTTGAGCTGAGGCTAAGAGTACACCAAGGCTTCTCTCATATCCAATAGTGCTCATTCTCACAATAAATGTTACACTTTCACCAGTTGGATCAACACACCGAAGCTACGATGCAGGCTCCGAGTCCCGAACCTGACCTCATCCTGCCTCTTCTTTTTATCTGCCTCGTCCTAGTGTGTATACTTTGCACTAGTTGCTTGATCCTCGTCATCGTTGTGATCAGACTCACCATTCACGCCCAGCGAAGTCTACCAATCGAAGCTAGGGAGCAGAAAGACATTACGAAGGGAAAGGTGAAGGAGAAGGTCAAAGAGGAGGTCGAAAAAAGTATAAAGAAGCTGACTGACCCCGTCCAAGACCTCCTTCATTCAGCACAAGATCATCTCAAGCTTCCCAAGAACCCTTTCACACAGCAACCAATCTCTCAATACTTCCATTCGGATCCTCCCTCAGCCAATATGTCTCATATCCAGGTAGCCTCGGCCCTTATCTTGTGACTCTACTGAGAGCTATATGCTGACGATATGGTCATTAGAACATGGTCGCTGTTGCTCAGAATGACGGCAACACCATTCTGTTCCAGGTCAACAAGAACTACGAGATCATCTTCTATGAGAGTCGCACCCCCAGTGAAAGAATCCCCAGGAAGAAGTATGACATGAACACCCTCAAGATCAAGGGAAAGTCAATCAAGGTCAACCCAAAGCTGCCCATTATCTCGGCTGTCGCATTCACTCACCCCGAGAACTGCGGTGGCAGAGCTCAGGTAAAAGCCATGCCGTTACCCATATGTACTTCTTTACTGACCTTGCAACCAAAAAGGTCCGAGTCTACTACGTCGACAGAGACAGCCTTTTCCTCCGTGAGATCACCCGTGTTGGTGACAAGGATGAGGATTGGAACGATGGCATGGATTTCAATGACAAGGACTACACTATCTGTGAAGTGAGCGGTCTGGCTGCCAACGTTTTCCAGTCGACTGGTGATAAGAAGAGCTTCCAGATCAAGGTTTACTATCAGCGGGACGGCGCGGACGAGTTTGCGGATGTTTCCTACAACGTTGTGGGGGTTACTGATGAGTGGAGCACTCGACCCAACGTCACTGAAGCCTAAGTGACAATCCCTGACCGAACTGTGCTGAGACACGACGCTGGTGCTGGGCATCGGATCGGGCTTGTAGTATCGGAGGGACAGTACGTATTGGACCTGTGACGATGGCATCACACTTATAGCTAGGATAGTTGAATTTGGCCATTCCTTGACTACATTTGATGCCTTCGTGCATTGCTTTAATCCTTTTGGTGATAACAAATCCGACGATACTCCAGTTTAGGAGGAGTATTATTCAGAAGCCCAGAGCGCAAATAAACCGGGAGTGCTCATTTGTCTCAATAGACTGCGCCTATAGTTCAGCTCTTTTCGCCGTTTGTGAATGGCAAGGTGTGTCATGGCTGCTTACCGATGGCTCAGAAGCTGCCCAGCCTGCCCTATAGGGCTGCGGCATAGGTCTTCTCAGAATGCCGCAAACTGTGACGTCAGCATGGAGAACTACAGACATGTACGTCAGTGACATGGGGAATCCTAAATGCCGCGATCTATCGGCACATCAAAAGAGATCGCTAGGTATGGATCCGGCACGCGTGGCAACGTGTCGGGCCGCCAATCAGCGGAGATCTAGAAGCCTCAACCTGGAAAGGGGGTATACGGGTTGAGGGTGGTATTTCACTGACAGGTCTTACTCGAAAGGGTTCGGTTTTCACGCCAAGACCTGTTGTTAGATGAATCGAGCATACAATCGATCTTCACTAGAGATGGGTTGTCCGTATCTCCCAAATCATTGGCTGCAAGGACCTTGTTCCGTCGTTGATGACTACCGACAATGGGGTTTGAGAAATGTGTCCTCAGCACGCTAATGCTGTAGAATTAGTTATATAACACTCATGGGGGCCCTCAGTCCTTCCCTCTTTCTTAATCAACCATCCATCTTGGCCCTTCTTGGTTTCAGATGGCGGCGATGCTGAAGACGTGAACTCTTGTCTAGTTTACTTCCCCAGAAACATGCATCATACCAATACTATTCCTTGAATTTCTCGTCGGCATCGCCATTGATCATCACCACAGTATTCGATGATCCCGCCCATCACCAAAACTCTGCCCTGAACCACTGACCTAAAAATTCTCTTGAGCCTCTGTCATATTGCGGCGATGCGGCGCCGCAAATCATCAACTTGCGGCACTCGGGCGGAACCGTGAGCGGAGGCTGCGGCGAGTGCGGCATCATGGCTAAGAATTTCGCTGCGGCGTAAGTTCGTAAGCATCCCGACCTTGAATAATCATGCGACAACATGACATGAGGAATCCGTTTCGTAGCGGCTTTGCCCGGTAAAATTTGCAGACTTGATGCATTTATATAAACATGCTTGCCAGGAGGCTGTAGTGGGACATATCATCCATACATCATACACACATTACATTACCTACCTATCAAAGCTTATCCTTATCTCTTATCTCTTATCACACTTCTTATCGCTTATCACCATCACCAATCATGAAGATTCTCACCAAGCAAGAAGAAGAGGCCCACTACGCTGAAGTCGTCAAGGGCGGCCTCATTGGCGGAACACTCTTCCTTGGTCTCGGTCTTGGAGGCGTATACTACGCATCTAAGCGCTACCCAACCTTCCGAGGCCTCACCCTCCCCTTCAGAGCATTCCTCGTCACATCAACGGGTACATTCGGCGCCATCGTCAATGCAGAAAGATGGAGTATCGCATATCAGATCGCTCAAGACCCCAAGCGCAACTACCAAGATCAAGCAGCGCGCACAGCACAACTCATCCGAGAAAATGAGTCAGCATATGAGCGTTTCAAGTCATATGCCAAGGAAAACCGATATCAGATTGTTTTCGCCTCGTGGTTGGCGTCAATGGGTATTGCATTTGCGATTGTCAGTCGACAGCCTATGAACACTGCGAACAAGGTTGTGCAGGCTCGTGTTTATGCACAGGGCTTGACGTTGGCTGTGTTGCTAGTGTCTGCAATTTTTGAGGTCAACGATCTCAAGAACGGTGATAGCAGATGGCAGACCGTTCGGTACGTGGACCCCAATGATCCTACGAAGATCATCGAGAAGAAGGTCCACAAGGAGGAGTATGAGGGTCAAGACCTCTGGAAGGGTAAGTGACCTGCTACAACTGATCTTGAGCTTTGCTAACAATTCACAGATATGGTCGCTGCTGAGGAGCGAAGACTTGCTGCCAAGAAGCAAGCTTCTGGACATTAAATGGGATCAAGATCATTGAATGATCACTAATTTGTATCGAAAATTGCATTGGGTGGTTTTGTAGTGAGATATCAGGTCGGGTTATAGATCGAACGGCGAATTTTCTTTTGTTGTATAGATGAAGCATAACATGGACGTGGAATGGAAATACCAGAATGACAACTTCACACTCTTATTGCAATCGAATGGTGGTGATTCTCAAGCATGTACTGAGACAGTTATTTCTGACTTCAAATTGAATCATGAAGGGATCAATGTCTGTCAGTTAAACCACATGCGAGATGGCAAAGTTGAGACTGTCCATCTCATTGTTTTAAAGTCACGTTCACATTGCAGGCGCAACAACATCACAAGCAGACACATAATTGAAACCATTAAACATTCGCATTACATTAAATACTATCATCAATCTTCCTTATGCGAAGGATTATATCCCCATAATCTCTTCCTCTCAGGGCCCCACCACTTGGACACAGCATCCGCCTCAGCAGCCCACTGCGAAGCCTCGTCTCCAAATTTACTCCGAACAGCATATGTCAACTGCTCAAGCGTCCACTTCTCAAGTGGCTTCTTCTCTAACGGATCATTCTTGAGATCCGTGAATCTATATTGTGTCGAGTCATCAAGCGGGATGACAATTCGCCATGGTGCATCTGCAGATGTCATTGACAACATGCTCGCTCCTCCATTGATGATGCCAAAGTTCCAGGCGCGGCGGCCATTATGGGTGGTTTTATAAGGGCGGATGAGGGACTGGCCCTCATAATCGTGGATCAGGTCTTCAGCGGCGTTCTGGTCGTTTTCGTTGAGGGAGCCTGTGTTGATGAGAAGGTCGAGGATGGTGGGGAGGATGGAGAGGGATGTTGCGTTGGCGTTATATTGAACGCGGGGGATGTGAGGATGGCGGAATGTGATGGGGACTCGGAAGTTGCTAACGTGGCCGTTCTCGTAGGTTCCAGTCTTGGACTTCTGATCCTCCTTGAAAGCCTGTCCGTGATCACCGACAAACACGACCAATGTCTCGTTCGTAAGACCGTGGTTATCGAATGTCTGGAGTAATTCGCCTAGCCAGGCGTCGGTGAATCTCATCGCGTTGAGATAGTCGTTGAACTCCGAGTGCCAGCCCATCTTGCCATCAGTGTTGAGGAAGTCGGTCTTCTCGAATGATTTCGGTACGCCCCAGGGATGATGCGTCGTGCTGGTGAAGTGAGAGAAGAACATACGCTTGCCCTGCTCCTTGACCTCCTTCAGGTAATCCTCAATGTGACCCTTGAGAGTTGTCTCAGGGAAACCGAAGTAGTTTATCTCCTCGAGTTGCTCACCCTTCTTGCGGTCATCTTCAAGACGACTTCGTGTAACGATGTGCTCAAACCCGATCTTGTCGTCGAACTTGTCCTGGCGATCATAACCATCGGTGATAGACTGGAAGAAAGCGGGGTACCACTGCTGCTCCAAGAAATCCTTAGACTTCTTGGACTTCTTATCATCCTTGAGCTTGTTGAAAAGGTTGAACACCTGGGGAATACAAGCTTGGTACGCGTCTGTCTCAGACTCCTCAAAGCCGTCGACGGGCATGGACCAAGCGCCACAGTGGATAGCAGCCATGCTCTTGAACGACAACGAAGACGTTGTGAAACCGCCGACAACGTTGATGCCTCCGTACCCCTCCTGCGCTGTATCGTTCCACTGCGGGATGTCCACGTGTTCGAAATCCGAGCCATCCTTTCTCTTCCAGTTTCCTGACTTGCCGGTGAGTCTCTCAGCGACGGGGCTCATGCGAGAAAGCTTCTCGTTGATCTCGTCGATGTCTTCGCCCTTGTGCGACTTGACCATCAGCTTGTGATAGTCGGAGCCCTGCTGCAGAGGGAAGAGTTCTTCGCGGTAGCTCTCCATCATGATTAGCGCCACGTGCTTGATCTTGACGTCGCCGCCCTTGAGAGTGTCGCGGATAACGTCAATGATGTCGGTGTCGAGGTTAGAGATCTTGAGGGGATCAAGGACGGGGTTGTAGAAAGTACCGTCGGCTTTGGGGACTTCGCAGGCGTTGCTAGGGCTTGCTGCAGGCTCGTCATCCGTGGTCTTGTTGGGCTTTATGAGCCACTTGGAGAAACCGGCGGGGATGTCGCTGGGTAACCATTCAGGGACGGTGTCTCTGTACTTTCGTGCAGCGTTGCCGTCGTTGCCTGGTGTCCAACCGGGGAAGCGTCCATTAGGCTCCTCCCAATTATCGGGAGTGATGAGATCAGGCAGAGGCCATCCACCTTCGACATTGTTACACAGCTTGGCCGGAGACTTGAACATTTCGAGCATAGCGGCGGGGAGAGTCATGGACATCATGGTGTATGGAGCGACAGGTCGGAAAGCCGTTGTAAGGAATAGGAAGACGGAAATGACGGCAAGAATGATCCATGTTCGAGGTCTCGTGCGAGATTCTTCGTGAGTATCGGGGATGAGTCGTGCGCCTTCTTTGGCGCCCTCGAGGTCTTCGTCAAGTTCGCTGTCGGAGTCATAAGCTAGTGACTGAGGGGATCGACCGTTTCTGTGTCGGAACCACTGCCAAGCTGAGTTATTGTTAGTATTGATTGACGATGATTGAGAGAATGATGTACCATGTACAACAGGCATTCCAACCGTTGCAATTAATGAACCGACAGCCCTGTAGAGAAACCACTTCCCGACCCAAGCCACGACGACGATGAGGGCTCCCGCCGCAAGGACAGAGTTGAGCCCACTAAGAAGAATCTTCATTCCATCTTTATCGCCGGCGTAGCTCAACGCCTCGGACCATTTAACCTCATTGCCCGTGGAATAAAAGAAGCCCAGTTGTGAAGCCGATGCGCCGAGAAGAATAAATCTGTAATTGTTAGAGGGACCCAATTGAAGCTGACGAGAGGACATACGAGAATATGCAACCCAAAACACAAGCTCCAACAGAGAAAAGGCCCTTCTGCTGCCGCAGCGCCAGGCGCGACAGGCAAATGACTAAAACATCGGGAAGTAAAAGCGAGGGCAGAAAAAGGACGAAAGCGCCGGGAGAGATTGTCTTGGCGTGGATGGAAAGGTGGACCAGTTTAGTAAACGTCAATGAAACAAATATCGTCGAAAAACAAAAGGGAACGAGTGTCGCGAACATGATGATTGCTCTCCAGTTGAGACAAGAGAACGAACGAAAAATTAAAAAATAGATGAATATTCCATGAGAAGAGGTTCGAGAAAGAGGACCAGAGAGGGGAAAAAAGGGAGCCTCAAGAGCAGAGCAGAGAAGGATCCGAGGTTGTTAAAAAAGGATCACGGTCGTAAAATCTTACATTGGCCCCCCCCCTTAACTAAAATAAAAAGGTCACTAAAACATCAAGCTAAATGGGGAATTAACAGTAAAAACAGCAACTGCTCGCGTGTTGTGTGTGCCACAGCGCATCAGGCTCAGCCCAGATTAAATCTGCTACGTAACATGGAATAACCATGACTTGTTCATTAGCTGAATACGGACAATTTACTCCCAACCCCTGGCGTCGGTCACTTCTGCATTGGTTTGGGATCCATGTAGGGCTAGACGGGTGTCACTAAGGACTCGTTGGCCAGTGGCGGTTTCAAGGCTCGTATTCTCTCATCTGCCAATTCAATCTGACTAAACGGCTCCGACTAACCGGACGCTTCCCTGCATCTAATTGGTCAACCAAAGGGGGGACGCAGAGTAAAATTAAACAGCACGGCACAGATTCGTCGCCAAGCTAAACAGATTCGAGCCGGTGCTGTAGGGGAGTTACGCTTCAGCGAGTAAGAAGGTCACGCGACAATGCAAGGAATGGGCTATTCTATCTGAGCGCTTGCTTTTTTTGCAAAGGCTCTCTCAATTTGAAGTGATGAGCTCGTTTGATGATGAGGGGCCGCGATGGCTTAAACGAGGCGTCGATAGTGTGCGGCCCAACAAGTCTCCTTGCTGACGGCATATTGATCAACAACAAATCAGCCCATACAGAAAACAATGCATTTCTCTGCATGAGGACATGAAATTGGTTGCAACACCGGTACATGCAATTCTCTCAGCTTGCTTCTTCCCCAGAAAAAAAGAAACCTTGCATGACCCGGTGTCGTCGGGCAAAAAAAGTCCCCCCTTTTATTCCCAGGCTGACCAGCAAGAAAAAAAAGCCGCTTAGCCGACTCTTCCCATTTTTAGCTCCCCCCTTGACCAATGTTAATGGGGTCGAACCATTCAATCATGGAACAGTTTAATTTCACGCTAGGCTGCGCCATTATTCCTTCTCCAGGCGGAAAGGCAGCGCTTTTTCTGCAGAATATTACATACACGATGACTGCTTTAGTGCGCAAGGCGCCTTGGTTTTTTCTTGGCTTACCCCTGAGTATAGTGGTCGATCGATCTCTTGGCGAGCGTGGAGAAGTTGTTTTGGTCTGGACAATGGCCTTGTTGACCCCATGCAAGGAGGGGGGGAAAGGGGATCTCTTTCTCAGCTTTGACTCGCTGTCGCGTGTCTCTTGTGTTTGGTGGGCTCGTAAGAAGAGGGCCCTTTTGCTCTGCTTCTTGAAATGAGGTTTCACCTTGCCCTTGAGGAATAGATTTGCTGCAGGGTTGACACTGACGCCTCCAAGGCCATTAAGTTCGACCCGCGGACTCCATGAGAATCTGGTTACCCACTAAAGTTCTCCATTTGCTGACTGTTACAGCGGCCAGCCAGCGACGCCTCTGCCTGGAGTTTCCCGCTGAGTATCCAGAGTGGCCAGTAAAAGCTTAAATATTCATCAGCAAAACGACGCGCGCCACAGGTAAAAGCTCTACCTTGTGCAATGATCTGATTGTTTTTTTGGTGACGAGGAATCAGGCACCGACACGTCTCTGGTGTTTTTACTCGCTGCTTTTTTCACAAGGAAATACATAAGCAAGGATGCAGATTAGCCATACGAGAAGGGAATTGAGCCGCCCTAGCCGAGGTGGTCAGAAACTGGCTCAGCATCTGACATTCCAGTTCTGGACGTGATCCTTTCAACCAATTTTCTGTGGCTGTCCAGCGAAGGACTTTTGCTCGCGTGACTACGCCGCTATGCATTACCTACTCTTTTTCTCATTGATCGACGCTTTTACACAAAAAATCAAGGAAATAATGAATTCACAATGTGGCTGCTGCACGTTTACGTGTCAAAATTATCCCCTGGCCTACGAATCAAGGTTACCGGCACTTCTGCCAACGTCATTGTGTCTATTCCCCGGATTTTTCCACGGTGATAGCCACAGTGGCGTCCGGTTACCCGGCACAACGGCCCAGCCACTGGAGCTTTTTTCTCTAATGCGGTTGCTTCCAAGATCTACGGGAGTGCTGTCAGATTGATTGACAGTTTTACTTGGTTTAAAAGTTTGTTTGTGATGGTGCGTAGTTGCTATGGTTCTTACGCGGATTTCCCACTTTTCATGGCAGTGGCTATCGTCTGATTCTGCCTGAAGGATTTGGGAGCCTGGATTGGATCGTAATTCTGAGACATCTATTTTGAGATATCGGTAGTGGAATTGGTTAGGGTCGGTACTGCCGGGAGACTCTCCCTTTCCGTGGTTCTGGAAGTTCCGTCAAGGGTTCTAGACATAGCGGTTCTTTCCGTCAAATTCCAAGTGACACCTTGGCAATTTGGGTAGTCGAGTTGCCCATACAAATGTGTCAGTTTGAAAGGTTCATTTCGAAGCTGATGCTGCATCTAGTCGTTCAGTTGAAGCTTACGGTGTCAGGTATGCGAGTATGTAGCCAAGCAATTCGTCATTCCGCTACGAAACCGTCGATGCTCGTCTATACGGCACTGGTCAGTAGCGTCTCAAGGTGCCGTATAACCTTATCTAAGGGCTTGAGGCTCCGCAATACTCAAGGGACAGCTCTGTCGGGACCCCATAAGACTCTAAGGGATAGTTTCTTGACGTCAGTAGTTGCCGAGTAGAAACCTAAACAATATATCCCTAGAATAGAAGAAGTTAGTTTTTAGGCGACAAAACTTGAGTAGATGCCAGAAACCCGTTAGTTTCTCATTCGATGCTTGAATGAAGAACGGACATGCTTGCTTAGTCCAATTGGCAAGGGCATGATAGTCAGACTCTTAGGCAGGCATTCGGAAAGCTCGTTCTTCTCGGTATCTGCGACGAGAGTGTCCTAATTCGACATTTATCATCCGTAGACACGCAATTCCATAATCGATGGTTGAGAATCTGTCGCCGGTATGGCATCATTAGGAGGTGGAGATAGCCGTCAAAATCATGCGTTGTGTATGGCTCAATATGGTTGCATCGCCAGTGAAATGTTACAATGGCGGGGTTAAAGAACGTCAACATCCAAGATAAAGCCTTCATAGTTAATTATTCTTCAGCTTGACTCTCATCAAAACCCATTGTAAAGCACACATCGATTGACAACATCAACATGGCTATTCAAAAAGTCGCAGTCGTTGGAGTGAGTTAATTACCCTAGAGAATCACGAGCAACGAACTAACCTCGCCAGGGCTCTGGTCTCATTGGATCAAAAATCGTGGACAGCCTCCTTAAAGCTGGCTTTGAAGTCACAGCTATCACCAGAAATGAATCCTCTGCAACTTTTCCTGATAAAGTAATCGTGAAGCGTGTCGATATCACTTCAGTCGACTCCGTCAAGGAAGCCCTGGCTGGCCAGGATGCCGTAGTATCGGCCGCCGCAACAGCTGCTGCTGGAGGCCAGAAGGTTATCATCGATGCAGCCATCGCGGCAAAAGTCCCACGATTCATTCCGTCCGAGTTCGGCATTCCGTCTCGTCAGAACCGAGATACCAAGATTGGAAAGATTCTCAGTGCAAAGATCCAAAATACTGACTACTTGATTGAGCTTGCTGAGAAGCATGATTGGTTCTCTTGGACTGGTCTTTCCAATGGATTGTTCCTTGATTCGGTATGTTATCGGCCTTCGTTTGAAACGGTAGCGTTTTCTGACTGCGTTGTAGGGCCTCAAAAGTGATAGAGGATTCATCAACATCAAGGGTCGCAAGATCCGCATCACCGACTCAGGCAACGAGCCCTATTCCACAACATCACTCGCCTTCGTCGGCGAAGCTGTAGTTGCTATCCTGAAGAAGCCAGAAGAGACAAAGAACAAGTATCTCAACATCGCTGGTGTTACGACAACTCAGAATGAAGTCTTGAAGATCGTTGAAAAGGTCACTGGTGACAAGTTTGAGGTTTCTCATGTCACTGGTGCTGAGCAGGAGAAGATTGGAGACGAGAAGATTGCCAAAGGAGACTTTAGTGCCTTTGGTAATTATCTCGAGCAGTTCCTGTTCGCCGACGGTGCTGGTCACGCGCTGAAGGGTGATGAAAATGCGATTGGATTGCTTGGGCTGAAGGAGGAGAACCTTGAGGAGGTTATCAAGAGTGTCGTAGCTGAGATCAAGTAAACTCTATTTAGTCTAGATGAGAATGCAATTTAAGTATCTAATTCATGCATGGTGTCGAATGTGAGTCAGTAACAAATAATTGGTCTATTTGTAGCAATTGGCATTGTTATGTCTAGTTCTTAAGGGAGGAGTCAAGAAAGCGAATTGCGTTTCTTAGACTCTCAACATTAGGAATCCCATCCGCCTCCACCTTCTCAACATCAACATTTCCAATTCTACCATCGAATCCATGCTCCGCATCCTCCGGGAAGTCCTTCTCAACCTCAACCCCCGCCTCACGAAGCTTCTTTTCAGCTACGATACTGCAGTCAACTGTAACAGCAGAGTCGTTGACGCCGTGGAGCAAGAACGTGCGGGGAATCTTGGCAAGATCGCCGAAAGAAAGAGGAAACAACCGGCGGTGTTCTTCGGGGATGGCATCAATGCCCTTGCGGGCGATCTGACGGCTCAGGCCTTCAATACCGGTCATGTAGTCTGGGAAAAGGGCGTCGATGTGGAGAGCTGAAGCAACTTGAAATCGTGTGTCTTGCTGGAAGTTCTCAGGAGGGGGATATCCAGATATGGCCTTTCGATCATCTTTCTCTTTCGTCCTGGGAAAATGGCTCAATACCGAGGTGGTATCGAAAGGCGGTGCGCCCCAGATATTTGTACCGGGAGTAGTATACCTCGGACCAGTTGCATCGAGCATTCCATAAATAAGCAGCAGTGCATCAGGCTTTTGTTCAACAGCATTCGCAGTTGTCAGAGCCAGATAACCACCAGCGCTAGAACCCGCCAGCAAGACAGGTCCGATAGGGCGTCCAATCGCGTCAGCCAGTGATGAGCGCACCCATTTGTACGCATCGATGGAATCGTCAAGCGATGCATGGGCGGTAGATTCTGGGACAAGACGATAGTCAGGGCTCACGAAGATCCATTTCCGAGTGGTCACAGCGTTGACCAGCCAGTATGGGGCAAAGCTATATCTGTCCCCAACAATCTACGCACATGTTAGAAACATTTTCAATAAGGCTAAAGCAAACTTACGAGAAATCCGCCATGGATGTGAATGAGAACAGTCGTCGGCGAATCATCGGCTTCCTCCGGGTACACGACATCAAGAACGATGTCGCCATGGGGGGTAGATTTGTACGGGATGGTCTTGTACGTGTAGCCTTTGAGGCTAGAGAAAAGAGATGTGGCCATGCTTAGGAGTTTCAGGAAGTGTTTTGATGTTTGGTTCAAGCGATTGATCGTTGATGATGAAGCTACAGAGGTTTTAAATACTAGTGGTGAGGAGCTCTGATTGATCGCAGGTAAACGCGCGCGCGCTCGGGGAAGCTCGGTGTTCCCCCGCACCCCGACGCCGGATTACGTGACGCGCATCCCACTTGAATAGCCCAGCAGCATGTCACCAAATCCAAATAACTAAGCAAACCCAGCAAAGCTTATTACTTAAATGCCCTCTATATTTCGCTGTGACTCATATTTTCTTTCGCGTTTTAGTCTTATCCCGGGGCTAAGCGGACTTAAGATCCAGTCATTCTTGAGAGCGCGAGACTGAGACTGCTGGTATTATTCCGAGGCGACTCGAAATAGGCGTGGTTCCCCGGACTTGTTACCCAAAGCCATTGCGAAAAAAATCCCCCGATCGACAGCCAGCCTGAAGATCTCAGACAGTAAGATTTTGCAGGTTAAGATATCCTGAATCGCAATCAGGAATGAACTTCGGGAGAGAATGGCTGAAATGCTGCTTGATGGAACTCACGGGACCCCTCGCGCATTATGGAACGAGAACGTCCCGGGTTCCAAGGACTACGGACGCTCTTTTTTACTTATCGAGGAGGCGGTATTCTTAACATCTACAAGTATCAGCATTTCCCTACCAAAGGAATCTCTAAATATCTACATACAGCTATCTTAGATCTTGTTGCTCACATCGAGACCACATAACTTCAACAGGAAAAAGTGGTTCCTATCAGCCATTCTCGCCATATATAATCACGGGATTGACTAGAAGAAAAACAGCCTTAAACAAATCACAAGGCGACACTGCGAAAGCCAAACGACTCCGTAGACAATGAAACGAATCACGTAAAAGAGTACCCTATCTCTGCCTTTCCAACCTCCTTCCCGCGACAGAAGATGCGACATACCAGTACACCAACATCGTCGTCACTGAGACGAATCGTCAAGGTGAGTAGTAGCTGATACCAGTGAATACCGTTGGCGTCCTGGATGGACTTGATCTTTGTCTTGTCAATACCAATGTCATCAATGGTGTACAAAACCTCGCCAACTTTCTCAATTCCTAGCAATCGTCAGCTCCATGGATTGTCCTATCATGGGGAATTGCACTCACGTTCGTTCTCGATAGTCTCGGGTGCCTCATCCAAGCTGCACGAGTAAAGATCATGCGTGTGCTTTCCATCAAAGTATTCTGAGAAGTGCGAGTAGAAACTTGTGCTGATCTCAGTGTCGTCGTCGAGGAGAGCGCCCTGTGATTCATTAGTCCAATATCCCTTCGCCAATAACACCTGGAGAAAGCTCACCTTTGCAATCTCCCAATCCATGAAGCCAGATAGGTTTTGTTCCTTGGTCCAGGGATCGTTCCATAATCTTCGCTTGTTCTCATCGAAGTTGAAATGAACTGCTGGATCATATGTTCGAGAGATGCTATGTCCATAGTGTCGACGACATTTCTTTTGTCTGACCATAGAGCCTTCGACGCCTCGCAACACAGCACCGCAGACAACAGCTGCCCAACTGGAGCCATGTTAGCTGATACCGGAGGCTTCTCATGAATGAGATACTTACGCGCCTGTCCATGGTGTTGTAAGCCGTATCTCTTGCTCAGAGCACCATTCGAGCAACCTCTCCTTGACATAAGGTGAGGAACCAAACCCACCAACTAGACACATAGTCTTGATTATTGGCTCCTTATCTCTCTTGACTTGATCAACCTGATCCTTTACAAGCTTGAGAATGACGTCAATCACGGGGTCAAAAAGGCTCTTCATATCATCTTTGCTCAGAAGTACCCAGTTGAAGTCAGGATCGTAGTACTTTTGCATCTCCGAAGTGACTACCAAGTTTCGCATAGGTAGGGTTAGTTTATAAGATTTCTTACTCGGTGTATCGAGGCTGAAATCTCTTTTGCGCATCTCAAATTGGTCCATGAACTGACTACCGGGACCTACATGCTGTGGACCCAGGCTGGTGAACGCAGTTCCGAAACGTTTTGCGAGGAGCTTGTAGAGATTGCGGTCTACGAATGTCCCGCCGCATTTACCACCTGAGAGTGTGAGTATGATCGTCCCATTTGTGGATGAAGACTGTTTTACCTGCTCCAATGGCAATCTCCCTCAGCTTTAGAGAAGGTGACTTTCTGACTATCTCTGATGTTGTAATATCCTAGCCTTGTTAGCAAGATACAGGGCCTTGAGTGAAAGTGGGCTTACGACAGTACCACCGCCAAGATCACAAACCATCACGCCCGTGCCAACCTAAGCGCAGTGTAAATATGGACTCAAAAGGTGAGATGGCGCTACCTACATCAATAAGATCTTCGACGTGATGAATGCTGGACTTCAAAGCCATATGTGCAGCAGCATCTGGTTCTGTGATCAAGCTCAAACGATCAATAGGTCTCGACGCAAATCCAGCGTCCAAGGCTGCAGCTCTAGTTATAAGCTTCGCTCTCTCCGTCCAAGTCGCTGGAACAGTCAACCAAAAGTCAACAGGCATCTCCTCAAGGATATCCTCCCCAATCTTCTCAATGACAGCTTTCTTATACATAGAATGCATGCCCTTCAGGTACTCGGTAACCACGTCTTTGGCAGTTCTGCCAGCTGGTAATCTCATGAGGCCATTTCCAGCGGCCTTGTTAAGATCCGGATCATCATACTCTGTTGCGAGTGCTTGATCATCGAGTAGGAGCTTTGTCCATGCGTAAGTCTTCATACCAGGTTCGATTTGATAGCCCCATGCGTTTTCTTCCAGGTCAGGATTCTCATCTTTGAAGGCAACCCATGATGGAGCTTTGTGGCAGTGTTCTGCGATGTGAGTTGACGAGCCGGGGTATTTTGTCCATGGATGAATGTCTTTGAAGTCTGCGGCATTGGAGAGCGCAAAACTGAGACCTGGTGTTGAGAAGATCAGCCACGTGGGTTCGTCATTGAGTTACTGTGTGCTGACCTGAATATGTTGTACCGTAGTCGATGCCGACTATCAGCTTCGTCCTATTCCTTACAGCCAGCATGATTGACGAACGTATTCCTGCTTGTGGCCTTAATTGCGAAGTGGAAAAGAACTGTAGTTCACTTCACTGAGGCTCTGCTATCTTGATGAAATGACTTACATCGTGTTCAAATGGCCACCTGGTCCAGGGCGGCAGCTTAAACAGTTCGCCAAGTTTGCGGCTGATCCCAGTACGCCTTACAGGGGTGGTTGAAATGCACGGGCGTTTTGCCGTGTGGTGTTCTGGCGTTTTGTCGGGGGCTCGGCCTTGCATATGCAGCCACTATCACGGCTGAAAGGCTAAGGTTTACAGGGAGGGTGATGGAGGGGGAGGGGAAGTCAAACGATTGAGCTCCTACGGCGGGATGTCCATTTTGGGTTATAAATAGTGCTTTTATTAATTAAGTCCGGGATAATCGTATCGTTACGCTATTAGATCAATACTGCTTTTTAACAGCATCACAATGGGCGGAGAATCTGAGCGACGGTCTGGAGACGATGACTCTGGTGGAGCTCTGAAGAACATCGGCGACCAACTCCGACCAAAGAGTGAGGATGAGGGGCCCTATGAAGAGGTATTCAATTTTGAACGCACTGTGTTCCTCTGACTAAATTGCAGCAGCCGAGATATTCTAAGACCGAGGACAAGAAGCCGAGATATTATCCTCCAGCAGACGCGACCATGACTGATGTCTTTGAGACTGTGAGAGCGTCTGAGCATCAACCCAAGGTAAGTCAACAAGCAATGCACCATGAATCGCGGAGACATACTCAGAGGTCCTCAAGCAAAACCCTGGGGTGATTGGGCGTATCACCCAGTCCCTGAACCCATTCGGCGCCTCAGAGCCTTCTGCAGTTCCCGAGAGAGTGAATGAGAAGAAGCCGAGCCACAAATCAGAAACCTCAAGAGAAAAGAAACTTCAAAAGGAAGTAACCCAGCTACGAACTGAGAAGATTTCTCTGAGCACGAGTCTCAATAATTTAACAATCAAGTTTGATTTACAAACCAACGATCTTAATGGCAAAAAGCGTCTCATCAAGCAATGGGAAGATTGGAAAACCCAGTCCGACGAGCACTGGCGCAAACGAGGAGAGGAACTCAGGAAAGCACAAGGAGCTTACGATCGCTTGTTTGATGACTATAAAAAGCTGAAGCGGACAAAAGAAGACCTCGAAACCGAGCTTAACGAGGAAAGAGATGTGAACAAGACTCTGAGACAGGATATCCAGAACCAAGAGGTCGTTGTTACTGAGGCGCATTCGAGGGCTATATCACTGCTGGCAGGCCATGTCTCAAGCGACTTTCCTGACGACCAGGTTCGAACTGAACTACAGGACCTGTTTGAGAAGTGCTCTGAGTGGTGTATAGACAATCGCTTGCCGCTGATCGAAAAGGCGGAAGAGACACGGAGCCTCATGCTGGCTCAAGGCATCATGAACGACCTAGATTGCGAGGAGCATCTAAGATTTGACGTGACGCACAGAACAGCTACAGCGGTGTTGCTCCAGGCTGCACTAACAAAGACGCTCATGCAGACCTTTCTCGAAAACCCATTCTTCCTAGGCCAACATTACTTGAACAAAACAGCCCTGCAAGGAGGTTTGTACACTTCACAATCCCAGGCAACAAGGCAAACTGACACAATCTCAGGCGCCAGCACAGAAGCCACAGTGACGTGGAGGATCCAGACTTGCCAATACCTAGAGCAAGCATTCCCCCCACACAACCAAGCAATGCAAGCATATGCCGAGGGTTTCGCAAGAACCTACGAACCCCTCATCGAGCCCCTCGACAGAGAAAGCCTCACGCAACTGACCAAGCTTTTTGCGACCACATGCAGCCTTGCGCTAAGACTCTGGAAGCTAAGAACCAATATCCGCGTCGAGGCGCTAGGCGATGCGACCCTCCATCGGTTCCAGAGCATGTTTGGCGACATGGAGGCTCATCCAACAGTTGGTCTCTTGAAAGGTGATAAGCGGTTCGACAATCGCCCGATTTGTGTGGTAGTGCGCCCGCGGATTGTCTCGGAGCCAGTGGAATCTGAGAATCGCGGGCGAGGCATTGTCTGGTCGGCTGCGCAGGTTTGGGTGTCTAACTGGGAGGATGCAGGGCCTTAGTGGATGGTGGCGCGGGACTAGTGATAGATATCACTTTTTGGGTGTTCAGCTTGAAATGCAGGCCTCATCAGGGAGCAAGAAAACACGGGACCTTAATATGGGGTGTCAGAATAAACTTAGCAAAGAGTCCCCTAAACTTAGGCTAGATTTACCTAAGAATTTTTAGCGCTTAGGGTCAAGGTCCTGGGTTTTCTTTCCTCCCCTAGGCAGGTTTTGCTGTAGCTCGTAGGTTGAAATAGAACTGTCGTTTTGTAAAGCTAGTGCTTATCGTGGACGAATAAAGTGTGAATTGCCCCTCATGCGATGTTAAGCTTGATTTTGGGTGTTACAGCGCCGGATATGTCGGCATAAAGTGAACGTGTCTAGTCCGCCTTGTTGTATTTATCAAGAGGCATTCTCTTACTCTTAAGTCTAGTCTTGAAGCTGTAAATTAGTGCACTATACTTATTGAGACCCCTGCCAGTTTTCATTATGACCAAAGTTGCGCAGTCTTTGCCAGAAGCTCCGTCGGTGGGAACAGACACGTCGGTAAGCGATGAGTCGGACGTGCCTCCGCCAGTGCTGTTGATCGCGGTGATGGGAGTGACTGGCTCTGGAAAGAGTAACTTTCTTCGGCTCTTGACTGGCAGAGACGATGAAGATGGGCCCCAAGTCGGACATTCACTTGGATCATGTAAGTCAACACTACATTTTGTGGATGGTGAACGAGCATTAACCACCAACAGGCACGCAGAAAACGGAAGCCTACGAGTGTCTCATCCGGGGCCAGCAGTTTGTCTTTTTCGACACTCCTGGCTTTGATGATACTTACCGAGGCGATGCTGACATTCTTGCCGATGTCGCTCAAGCCCTCAGCTCTTCGTACATGAACAATGTCAAGCTCAGCGGGATCATTTACCTGCACCGCATCAAAGATGAGAGAATGACCAACGCCATCATGCGAAACCTCACCATGTTCCGCAATCTTTGCGGTGATGGTGCCTTTGAGAATGTTATCCTTGCGACTACTTTCTGGGATGAGCTACAGGATGAGTCAAAGGGATCTGCAAGAGAGCATGAGCTGATCTCAACTCCTGAGTGGTGGGGATATATGAGCAACAAAGGCTCGAGAATTCGACGATTCCAGAACACAAGAGAATCTGCTCTTGAGATTGTCAACGAGCTAGTTGACCTGCCTGCCGTAACTCTGCAGATCCAAGAAGAGATCGTAGAGCAGGGTCTAGGAGTCGACCAAACAACGGCAGGTGAAGCTCTCAACGAGGAGCTTAACAAGCTACGAGAACAGCACCAAGCGCAACTCAACTCCATCCGTGAAGAAAAAGAACAAGCCATCAAAGACCGCGACGTGCAACTTGAGAAAATGCTCGACAAGCTTGAACAAGAGAAACACCAATTCATGCGCCGTCTCGAAAGCGAGCAAGCAGCTCTCCACGCCGACCGCCGCGAACAGCAGCGCCGCATGGAACAAGCCTTCAACGACCAGCTCGTCCGTCTAGAGCGCGAACGCAAGGCAAGAGAAGCCAAGATCCAAGATCTGGAAACCCGACTAAGTACCGAGCGCGCAGATGCCAACGAGCGATTTCAAGCTGCTATGGCAGAATCGAACCGCATGGTCAGCGCGCTGAAGCTGGAGATGGAGACCGCGCGTGCGGAGGATAGGGCGGAGTATGATGAGACGATCAGGAAGATTGAAGAGCGGCAGAGAGGCGCGGTGGATGAGGCGGGGAGGTGGAGAGGGGAGGTTGAGAGGTTGAATAGGCAGATTAGGGATGCGAGTACAGCGCAGGTTGCGGCACATGGCATGGAGAAGAGGAGGATGGAGGCGAGGATTAGGGAGTTGGAGCAGACGAGGAACACGAGTAATACGAACTTTTGGGATGTGGTTGGGAATATTTCGAATGTTGCTACGGGGATCTTGTTACATTTGCTTTGAATCGAGCTAGCTGGTGTTCAACGTACATCACTCTTCAGCACCTCAAACAATGGGTCTGATGGACAGGACCTCAGGGCATCGCCGTACTCCTTCTTGACATAATCCCACTCAGGAGATGGACATGACTCCCTAGTTATATGAAACTCTTCAGATCCATAACCTTCTCGACATATCAGCAGATTTCCTCTGCTCATTCGTTCAGGTCGGCCATAATCCCCGAACACGATGTACTCAAGTGACTTGATACCCTTGTACGAGAAGGCCCACTCCACAAATGCCCAGAACATGGGTTCCAGATACTCATTGCTAGGATTTTCCCCTTCATCCACTGCCGGAGTATCATCGACTGGTTCATCGTCGATTATCACCATAATCCCCCATGACCACGTATACTCCATGTTCTTACGCGATTGACGAACATGAACGACCTTGAGACAATCCTTTTTGGAAAACGGATTCAACACATCTAGCTAAAAGTCGAACGTCAGTGGATGAAGATAGTAAAGCCCGAATACATACCAGATGGATCGGTTCACATGAGAGCCCGATGAAGTCGAGATCCAGGTCATAAAGGGGAGACGAAGTCGGATCATCCCGATACCTTTCCTTATCACGCTTGTTAATCATCATATCCGGCAAATCCGTCCACACTTCCAACTCCTCGTCATAGAATCTCGAATGATTGACAAATCTCTTTAACGTAGAGCTGTGATGGCAAACGATGTCCCATGTATACTTTGAGAGCATGTCGCCCGTCTGGTCAATGTAAAGCTCCTCCAACCCTTGAAAATATTCTAATAGAACTTCGGTTGGGTCCCCGTCTTCAAAATCGTCGGTCCTGCATCATTCTTGGGCCAAGATTCCTGGAGCTCGAGCTTCTTCAATCTCACTGGGATTCTTCGCCGTGCTATTGTTAGCACGAAATCGTACCACTGTGGACAGGACCGAATTGTCAGCGATCTAAGAACCTCAAAGTTGATAGATTGTACAAGCGTCGCGGTCAGAGGCACACGACTGAGCGCCAGGGTATGTAAGTTGGGAAACGTGATGTGTGGAGAGTGTGTGTCGAGGCCGAGAATCATCTTGTTCACGTAATCTCTTGCTCTCATCCTGCGCACTCTCTCAACATCGTTTTGATACCCCAATGCCTTGCGCAAGTGTGGCCAGTCGACTAGGTCAATTTCCAAAGTGTCAAGGTGCGGCTTGTTGTTTTTGAGTGAGGTGGCAAGTGCTCTGAGATTATCTGAGCTGGGTCCTCTCCAACTGAAATTTAGGAGATGATGGAAAGAAGATAAGTCGATTTTTCGTTCGCGTGAGTTGTAGCGTTGGCAAAAGGGGTACGTTGTGAGTTTCAGAGTACTAATCGTAGACTGCTGACAGGCGACAATGCCATCACTCCCTAGAATGGGAGTCGGTATACACGTTCCTAGATCCCAACTGGGTTTGATTCTGTCAGCCCTTCTTCGGAGGATTACTGAAGACAATCGACGAACCTGAACGATGTCAACTGTTCCTTCTCAAATTTTTCGAGTAGTGAGAGAATAACCTCATTGAACTTTTCAAAGGAACCTCGTTCTTCGACGATTTCTCCATCCTTTGCTCGTTGACAGGTCTGTAGTCTTCGACTATGCGGACAGGCTCTTGTATCGCTCTCGGTTACAAACCGTAGACTGATAGATTTCGTAAACGCCAGTCTTTCGAGAGGAAAGCCGTCGATACCAATTCCGTAAGTGTCGTTCTTACTCCATGCCGGGATGACTACAGATGCCCAGAGGGTCTGCAGAGTAGAAGAATGGAAGTGTTTTGATGTCTGACACAGACTCTTGACGTCTTTGATAGATATCTACAACGACGTTGAGTCATGGACTTTATGGGATAAGAATAGTAGGTTCATCCTTACCTCACTGAAAATGAAGTTCAAGAGCTCTTGGGGTAGTCGTTCGAACATTTTTCGCGATAGTTAACAGGAGTCAAGGTGACGCGAGAACGGGCAATGCGCGCCATGAAGCTAGCTCTGTCCAATCAGACACGAACGATAAGAGCTTTTGTGGTTCCAAAGATAAACAATCTCATCAATCACGTCACTCGCGTCACTCATCGTAATAAGCTCAAATCTCATATTCAGTCATTATTGATCTATTGTTCATATCTAGACCGTACCAAAACTTTTATTTACCTCTCACGGTTGTAAGTAGGAGCAGGCTTGGGCTTGTTATCAAGGATCTTCTCAATCTCCTCCAAAACCTTATCATCGATCTTCTTGTAAATCTCCAGCGCCTTGAAGTTATCCTCAAGCTGCTCAACCTTTGTCGCACCGAGAATGACAGTGCTGACATTGGGGTTCTTGAGGGCCCATGCGAGAGAGAGCTGGGCGACGTTTCCGCCGAGACGCTCAGCGACTTCAGAGAGCTTCTTGACCTTTTCGATCTTGGCCTTGCCAGCTTCAGTTTGAAGCTCGTTGACGGTGTTCTCGAAGAAGGCCTTGTTGGTGGCAAATCGGGAGTCTTCGGGAATTCCGTTGTTGTACTTGCCGGTCAAGAGGCCGGAAGCGAGAGGGGACCAGATTGTGGTGCCGTACTCGAATTGGTTGAAGAGAGGAGCGTACTCGACCTCGAAGCGCTCACGGTGGAAAGCATTGTACTGAGGCTGCTCAACGACTGCACCACTATCAGTATCTGTCACAATCTCAGCTATCAGTGGACTTACCAGGAGCAATGAGGTTGTAGCGCTCAGCAATGTGAGTAGCCTCGGTAATCTGAGCAGCGGTCCACTCAGAAGTACCCCAGTAGTAAGCAAGGTTCAAGTTGCGAATGACCTGAGTAAATCCCTCAACGATCTCCTTCATGGGAGTAGCGTAGTCGGGACGGTGAGCAAAGACAACATCGACGTAAGGCTGCTCGAGACGCTTGAGAGAGCTCTTGAGACCCTCGACGACGTGCTTGCGGCTGAGACCTCGAGTGTTGGGCTCCTTGCGGCCAGTACCGAAAAAGACCTTTGTGGTGAGGACGTACCTAGGCAAGTTAGCATAAATCGAGGTTTAGAGGCGTGGGATATTTACTCATCACGAGGCCAGCCGAGTTCCTTGAGAGCACGGCCCATCTCGACCTCAGATTCACCATTGGCGTAAACCTCAGCGGTATCGAAAGTGTTGACACCATGATCCCAAGCCTTTTGAAGAATCTGCTTCACGATATCGCCCTTTTGCGTACCGCCGTAGGTCAACCAGCCACCGAGACTGAAGACACTGACCTTGAGACCAGTAGGTCCCAGGTGGCGGAACAGCATGTCCTTGGGGTCGTAGGCGGTTTCAACAGGCATTTTGGTGATTGAGGTTGAGTGGAAGTGATGGCGATGGAGATTTGATGGTAGGAGGAGGGGCGGTTTTCTTATAGAAATGGAATTGATGTCATTCGGGATGGTCCAAGCGAAATGAGGGGTATTGAAGTGGTTGATACAACGATGATGGCTCCACGCAAACAACTGACGACAGTTTAGCGTAGCAGCTCTCATCGTCAAGCCAATCAGAGGACCCAATGCCTGGGACTATCCCAGCCTCAAACAGGCCAACGTCTGTAATTGGGGCGTTAGTATTAATAATTCAAGATAGCGGGGCAGAGGCCGGCGAACAGTCACTTCCGGGCTTCAATGACGCCTACGTTGCAGGAGATACTGGAGTTTGGGGTTTAGCAACATGCACACGCATTCTTTAAGTTGCCTATTGTGTTTGGTGTCATCGGGGTTCTTATTAAGTGCTTACACTGAATCCTTCTTTGCCGTTCCATCTACCGGATCGAATTGCTTATGACATCAAGCTATCAAGATTACACTAAAGCCGAGCCTAAGTCCGGGCTAAGGCCACGTTTTCCCCTCATCGAGATTAACCTTGTTATCGATCAGCGTGATTGATATTTTATTGACCGAGGTACGCTGTTGACCCAGTTATCTTCATCGCCCCGCACAAGCTCATCATTCCAAACGTGGATGAAACATTGCCCGTGAAACCTCAGCGACCTTTGCATGTTCCTAGAGCAACTCGCATGCCCTTCCACATGGGCGCCCAAGCACCAAACACAGCAGTGACACCTGTGCAGATGATCATGGGTCCGTATTGCGTCGCGTAACCCAGTGCCTCGTTGGACAGATGTGCTTTTGCCTGTAGCAGTGCACCGCTTAATGGCCCTGCGGTGACGAAGCCGATACCTCGTCCGCCCATGAGCATGCCGAAAATAAGAGCTGAATCAGCGGCAGAGTCGTCTTTTTGGATGTCGGTGGACATGTTGGACCACGTTGAGCTGAAACCGCCGGCGAAGAAGCCGTAGACAATTACAAACACCACCAAGTTTGCAAGGTCGAGCGACAAGCCCCAGAGAAGCCAAATTGGCAGGGCGCTTCCTATTGATGCGATTGTTACAGCTTTTGTTGCTGAGAATTTGTCACCCAACATGCCGTGCACGATACCGCCAGGGACGGAAGCGACAGAGAACAGCGCAAGCAAGATAGGACCGGTTATGCTGGGTAAACCGATATTTGATGCGTAGCTGGCTAAGTATGTGCTCGGCATAAGGTATCCGAGTGATTGTATGATCACACTAGCTTGCATCATCCAGAAAGATGTATGGCGGAGGAAGCGGAACGATAGCGGTTGAACCTGGGCCTGAGTGTGCAATGGGATCCGTGGTTTGATGAAAACGAGAGTTGGGAGAGTCATTGCGGCTGATGCACCCGCCCAAGCCAAGAGAGTAGCCTTGAGACCGACCCGGCGAAGAAGAGCATCAAAGACAAATGGCATCGCAATACCTTCACTCCGTCAGCATACGGTCTTGGAGCAGATTTCTTGGAGTCATACCTGTGCCCGACTTGCCAGCCCACATAACCCCCAACGCCATTCCCTTCCTCTCAACAAACCACTCATTCATATAATGCGAAATCGGGCAAAACAAAAGCCCACAGCCAATAGAGTACAACGCCCCTTGTGTCGCAATAAGCCCCGCGATAGTGTTCACAAACGCAGACGCAGTGAGACTAGCGACAGTCACTGCAAGACCAAGCGGTCCGCAAAGGTGACGCAGCCGCGGATACCGCGTGAGGATGAGGAAAGCAAACGGCATCATGAGATACATTACACCCTGCTGCAGTGCTCCGATGGTGGCGATTGTTCCGGATGAGGCTGTGCTGATGGGACTTCCGGGACGACTGTAGTATTCCTGGAAGATGCCGAAGGAGACAGAGTAGCCTGGGATTTGTTAGTGTTGAACATGGATGGTGAAGAGGTTGAATACCCCAAATTGGGAGCTGTGCCATTGTACAGCACATCAAAGTCAGATACGCATCTTTACCACGGTCTGTAGGCGGGAGTGAATCTGTCGGTGACGGAGAAACATCTTCCTGGCGTTCAGCATCAGGCGGACTATCAGTCCCGCACTGCTGTTCCTGCAACGACTCCATGGCATACGCTGTCTCCGAGGAAGACGACATCTTCGCAATCGATTTGTTTGGTAGTAAGTAGAATGAACAATTGCGGTTAGTCGGAAGGATTGAGGATCAAAGGTTGGCTTTTGGACGGATATAAGCTCAGAATGCGCCCTTGCTTTGACAGTCGCGTTGACGTAGCCGATCGGGGATTGGTTAATGATCGACGTGTTTGTTCTCTGTTTTGGGAGTTTGTGCAACACGACCAACACCATAGCAACCTTGCGAAGTCGGAGCACGGCATTTCCTGTGCAGGGTTTGCTTGTGAAAATGATGTTCAAATAACGGTGTCAAATTGATTCCTATCTATTCCTATTCGCCGTGTGAGACGTTGTACGTTTTTGTGCACACAATCTTGGTTGGCTGCAATATCGCCTCCTCGCTTGCATTATCCAATGTGTTTCCCATCACTCCACTGCAAATACTCCCTGTCGTAATCTGCGTTGTTCGACTCACAGTGTCAGGGTAGGTCGCCAGTTCCAAGGAACCACATGTATCGAACTGGGTGTAGCCTGTATGCTTCTTCCTCTGTACTTTATGTAGCGAATCGTTGGAAGGTGGCTCTGAACTGCCTGAGTCGCTTGAAGAGCCCATCCATTTCGGTGCGAAGCGTTTGAAGAATTTGCGAAATGTCGGCATGCACCCGCATATAATGAAGAGGTTGACTTCCACGAAGGACCAGACGTTTGCTGGGGCTGCGATCCACGGAATATCCAATGCTCCCAAGAGTGAGGGTAGATATATCATGCGGATGATAGATGTCGTGACAGTTCTGCTGCTATTAGTCGCTGATACTTTTCTTGGCCGTTCAACGTACATGGTAGCAATACCGAGCATGATACCCAAACCAATCTTCTGTCCCAGTGGCATCTTCAAACGAATAATCATCGGCATAGGAATAGCAAAGAGAACGATGTCTGAGATGATGTTGGCGACAGCGATGATGATATACATGACAGCATAGTCAATGCATTTTCCGCTAGCGAACAAGTACGGGTCCCATGCTGTCTCTCTCGGTTGGCATCCGAACAGTAGCAGACTGGCGATGATGATGGTATATAGAGCAACGAAAGTGATAGTCACAAAGATCGCTCTTCTGAACCATTGCTGCGGGGAGACTTGAAGGTAGAAAGTCAGAAGCGAACTTTTCGTCAGACCGTTGCAGATGATGAACGCTGGAGCGGCGATGTAAGAACTCTATGTCGTGTAAGAAGATTTTTATAATCTTAATTTGGAAAGCATACCAGCATGTGCTTCTCAAAGACGTCAATGGGCATCTCCCATGCATGGTGACATAGACCTCCGATAGATATTGACCCTTCAGTCTTTAGCAGAGGCCCAAGACAATGACGGAGTGTACTCACATATCTGAGCCGACTGCATGACAATAGAGAAAGTCTTCAGGTCACAAGGTTAGCCTCGTAATCATTCTATTTTTCACTTGATGTCATACCCATGCCAGTGTGATCAAGACTAAGCCACCAGGTTAGCTGCAGGTCCCTCAATTTAAGTCATCACATACCATCGTCAATCTTCAACCCCCGCGTTATGTAATACTTTACATATAGCCTCTGCAACAGACACAGAATGGCCAGAGACCCGATGATCCCGAAGATGAGAAAGTGCTTGAGTGCATCTTGCTGCTGAGGATTGTCAAAGTCGACGACGTATCCTTCCGGCGGCGGCAGAAACGTGGTCACGCCGTTAGTAACTGGATAAGAAGACATGTCAGATATGATGTATTCATTTCTACGGAAAGAATTGTCTTGGGATTATATGTAGGGATGGTTGATTTGATCAGTGCGTTTTGTGTTGGTTCATTGCTATTCAGCGTAAATCCGAAATCCTCACCTTGCGAGTTTGCTAAGCTAGTGGATGGGAAGGTCCACTATGGACAAACACTCTCAACGGACGAGGGCAGCAAGGCCAACAGAACTTGATCACCTTGGCCATAGTGCTGTCACCCTTATTTCTAACAAGTAGAGAGACACATCAGCTGAGGTTCCCGGGGCTTCACCCAGAAACATCCGATGTACGTACTACTATTGTCGGAGTCCGTCAAGGTCGTTGGTTATAATTGTTCTAGTGCAAGCCTTATCACTCGTGCTGTATGTCTCAAGTGTTTGTCCAGGTGATATGTCCCGAAATGGGTGTCAATAGGAGTCTATAGCGTCTCCAATTGGCGGGTCGGGTCAGCCACATCTTGGCAAGGGGAGCGGACCAGATCAATCTGACCAACTGAGGCATCTCACAGAATTTACAGTTCTTTTGATCCGTGCTGGCTGATCTTTAGAAGCTAATGTTAGATGTTGGAATGCGGAAGAGAATTCTTCAGCGGATTGGATAATCGCGGTTGGCTCGTGCAAGGCCAACTCAACCATTTAGGTGAGACATATTTGACGCTTCGGAAGGTCAATAGAAGTCTATACAGGGGTTGCATATTCTGAACTCTGCAGGAAGATATCTGAGCTGAGCATCCTGGCTGAAAACCATGTCGATGCCTGCTTCCAGATCTTGTTGGTCGAAGGAATCTTGCGCCAAATGCCGAGCCTCAGGCAGATCTAATGCAGCCCGACTCTCTTGTCACATTCTCGCAACGTCTCACGGTTGGTTACTCTCGTCGATAAATACCTCGAAATCCGTAAAGTTGTCTCATGGCAGTATCCTCCATTGTCATCCTCTCACTTAAGCAATACATCCAACATGAACCAACTCGCGTCTCTTTTGTTTATTACCACGGCACTTTCCGGCAATGCATACGCATCACCTAAAGGTCCTCCTTCAAACACTGGTTTGCTCCAGATGGTCACTTACGTCAAGCGTAATCCCAATATGACGCTCGACGAGTTCTGGCAGTACTGGGATACCCAGCATGCTCCGAAGGTGATCCCTCTGGCAACACACTTTGGTATCGCTCGTTACCAACAGGTATGTCTTCACAACCTTGCACTCCAATAGTGAATAAATACTTATTGGTGTGTCATTCTGTCATTGTAGGTACGAGTCGCTGGAAAGATTGTTCCTACTGATGCGGGCGCCACTCAGCCAGTGTCCAATCAGCTGGTAGACTTTGATGGGATTGCCATGTTCCTTTACGAGTCATCTGATGTCTTGATTGACATGCTCTCTCACCCTTACTATGTCAACGTCGTTGAACCGGATGAGCATGTTTTCATTGACAAGTCAGCTCATGGAAATGGGATGGTAGCCACCTATATCGGCGAGCATATCGATGCAGTCGATGATGCAAAGAGTGTTTGGAAGGGAGACAAGAAGACACTTTCCAAGTACCAGAAGTTGTTCAAGAAGTATTAAACAGACGAAAGAGAATTGCACGATGGGAAGAACTTGAATACCGGCTCCATAGATCTATAGTACACGATAGAGCCTCCCTCTCACAGAACACTTGGCACCTCCAAAGATGCATTTATCTTAAAATGAACATGTTTATCCGAGCCAGGTACCCTCAGCTAAATCCAATGTCCTTACTCTAACCCCGGATGTTTCCCATAATTACTCCAAAGGCCTTTTGACTTATCATAAACGTCGGCGCAGCAGGGAATCCTCCCGGCGTACGCGGGAAGACCGAAGCATCCACAACTCTAAGTCCATCGACGCCATTGACCTTGAACTCTGAGTCAACGCAGTAGTTCCTATCGCCAGCAGGTCCCATGCGACAAGATGACGTGGCATGGTGACTGAATGCATCATCCATGATACCCTGCCGAATACTCACGCCAGGCCGGGGCTCAACAACCTTGAATGGAGCGTAAGGTTCACCGGTAGCGTTGAAGATACGCATGGTATGCTCAACACCTTCCTGGATAGCCTGAAGATCCCGATCCCCTTTCTCAGCAAAGTAGTTGAAGTTGATCTCTGGTGCTTGCCGGGGGTCTTTTGAGCGGAGAGTGATAGTTCCAGCTTGGTTACCTGTCTGCATTTTGACGATAGACCAGAACCATGATGTTGGAGGGGCTTGCCATGTTGAGTAGCCTGGGAAATATCCGCGGAATACTGTACCTGCGGCTCCAAAGAGGTACAAATCTGTGTCGTTTGTTTCGCTGACGCTGGATCGGTAGAGAAGTGAAATCGGGGCCGCGCCTTCGCCGTAAGCTCCAGTATGAGATTGGTTCCATTCCTGATAGCACGTGTCGTTGGCTTGAAGTGTGAAGGAACAATTCTCAAAGGGATTGTTCTCCCACGGTACAGAAGCTTCGACTGTTACGCCACCCTCGTAGTTATCTTGTAGATATTTACCCTGTCTTTATCAGTTGTATTCTAGAACCCTCAAACGAAAGACTCACTACTGCGGGGAGATCAACGATGACAGGGATGTCATGATTCTCGAGCTCCTCCCGAGGACCAATACCACTCAACTTCAAGATCTGGGGCGTGTTGAACGTACCACCGGCCACAATCACTTCTCTCGATGCGGTGACGTTAACCAAGCGACCAGACTCAGACTCATCGTAGCGTTTGTCAGCAGAGTATAGTCCTTCACCCTTCAGATACTCTACACCAAAGGCCTGAGGCTTGCCGTTCCGACCGTCTTTGAACAGCACGCGGGTAGCCAGAGAATGGGTACTGGCAGTCAAAGGATACAGAGCAGATCCATTTGCTGATTTCGCATTTATCGTCTCGTGTAGATATCGCCATGCACCAGTTCTCTGTCGAAGACTATCCACGTGGAGGGGAATCTGGTATATTCCTGGCGAGTATCGATCTTTTTCTAGGCGGTTGATATCTCGTTGCATTAGTCGACCAACTTCGGCGGCATCGTCGACTTGAATCCCTTCAGTTTGCTCAAAAGCACGCTTCAGAGATCGCACGACGCCAGGACGATCAGTGATGTAAGAGATGTTGTTCCGATTACTCTGTGCGGCTTGTCAGCGAATGGTAGGCCTTGCACCCGACTACTTACCTGGATGAACCCGTCAAACCCGTGGCCAGGAGTCCCCTCTTGGGCGTAGGTGCAGTTCTCAATATCGATAAACAGCTCCCTCATCTTGCCGGACTTCCATGACTCGTCCCCAGTAAGTTCAGCGATCGCATCCCAATCATTATCAGGTGGCAACGCGAAGTTCATGGCGTTGAGTTGAGTAGACCCGCCAAGTGTTGCACCGCGAGGGTAGAGTATACCGAGCCTTTCAAGTTAGAGCGGGCAATTTAATAGAAAAGGAGATTCTTACGGCTCGGCATCCTCAGGGGGGTCGATACCCGACCACAGAGTTCCGTTAGGTAGTCTGTAAGCATATTTGGAGTCTCTTCGAGCCTGAGTTTCGTTTTGGTAGTGGTTTACGTAGAAGGACCATGACATGCTTGGGTGCTCAGCGACTTGATCCGCCCTGGAGGTTGTGAGACAAGTCATCATTTGGAAGCCCCGGTTGCACTTACATGGCGGGGATTCGCTGCAGTGGTTTATTGCCCTGATCACCACCAGCCTCTATCAGAAAGACCGAATGACCGGCACGGGCGAGGTTCGCACTGAAGCAATTGTTAGCAAAGCTTGGTCAGAGAGTAAATACTCACGCCAAAGTCCCTCCGCTGGGTCCTGATCCAATGATGATGTACTCATACTGATCTGGTGGGTTGGTTGGAAAGGCAGTAGCTAGACCAGCAAGAATGCTCCAAGATGCAAGTTTCATAGTGTCGGTTGATCGATGTTATCGTCCTCTGGTTTGCAGAAATCTTCAAGCTCTAGCATCTCCAACTATTTATACGCATCTTGTATATCATGCAATTGGTAATCATGATCCTTCAGCACAACAACCTGCAGACAATGCTGACCTTGGCTCCCAGCAACGCAGCCGGCTCATCATCGTCAGCATAGCCAAGGTGGCTGCAGAACGAGTGGAACACAGCCTCGCAATGCCGACCATCGGGATATTACTCGTCCTACCCAATGAAATTTCATCTGACAGATTTATTATTCAACTTTTTAAGCTTGTTCACAGCGTCTTACATGGATGTAATGGAGTGGAAGGATGGGTTGCGCTGATTGAGCGTAAGCCCGAGCCACGCGTCATCGGATTTCTGTGTAAAAGTCGTCCGCAAATCCGATCGCCAGTCCGCGCCGATGCTGCACGCTCCGACACTTTATATCACTTTTCTTAGAGGTAGTTCCTTCAATTACTCTTATGCTAAATGCTTTTTCTTCTCAACTTCACTTTTAGTCTCCTTGCAGCACAGTATACGTCCTTTGAACTTCTTCAACAGGCCATCTACGCACAACACGGTCTTCCACTGTCAACAATTAAGTGCACCGGAACATGCTTTCTCAATAGATTTTCTGTAAGACTTAAGTTGCCGCTTGAAGTATTTGCTCAGTTCTCGGTGAGAACCCATCACGTGCAACTGCAAACAAAGCTCCAGCAGCAAGACCCGTGACTCGCTCCGCAAGACGCAGCGCATCGCAATAGATATAAGTTTCGTAAAGCGCGTATTTAGAGTTAAAAGTCTCTTAATACTCGGGATGAACTCACGGAGTGAACCTGAGGCAAGGGATTGTCTCAATTGCGATCTGACGCACGATGAAACCATGCGCGACACTTAGGGATACCCCTGGCTCCTTCACCAAAATGGAACAACGCCAAGGATGAATTGCGACATTGGCCCAGATCTAACATTTGACGTTTCCGCCAACCGATAAACTATGGTGAATATCAACTAGGGCACTTTCGGATCGCCGCTCATCCGGTCTTCAATTCTGCTCCTCGGCAGCGCGAGTATGATCACCAACGAGGATACACTGTTTTACCACGGCGCGTACACCCCAGAATAGGTTCATCCTGAAGATGAAGCATAATGTTACTCCGTGATAAACGTCTCATGGTCTCTTAGCGCCAATGAGAGTCTCTTTTGCGGTGTTTCTGTCGAATACAAAGACTCGACAACACTGCCACTTATTCCAACTTCAGTCTTAATATCACAAACTCAATTCACTTTCACTTCTTACAGCTGGTCTGTTCTATTGCACTCACACCCTCCACCAGTCCACCTCATTCAACATCCGTCCTCTTCCGTGCATCACATCTCAAACGCAAACATGAAGTTCACCTCTTTCCTCCTTGGCTTCGCTGCCACTGCTATCGCCAGCCCTATCAGCAAGCGCGCTGTCTTCAGCCAGACAACATACGACGATCTCTCCATCAGCGGTGGTACCGCAGGCAACGCCCAGCAAGAAGCTTTGCAGAAGCTTGGCGGTCTGCCAACGGACCTGTCAACAGTTGAAAAGTCTGACTTGGACTTCCTCAACAGTGTCAACCAGATCGCGAATGATGCTGAGGATGAGGCCTTCAACCCTGCTATCGACGCAGCTTCCGGCGAAGCAGCCGATGCCCTTCAGGTAAGCCTTGCCATCAAAGGCCAATGAAGAAATAATGCTAACTGTTTTGTAGCGCGGAAAGATTAAGAACAAGGTCCTGAAGTTGACTGCTACTATCCTCAAGCTAGAGGCTCAGCAAGCGCAGGGTGAGGATGTCGCTGATAAGCTGGCGGAGGAGAACAAGAAGTTGCAGAACAACATTTCGCAGGATAAGGATGAGGCTGGAAAGGCTTCTACGTTCCTTGCTTTTGATGCGACTACAAGCTAAGAGGATCGAGGAATGGTGGTGAACGGGTTAGTGTCAGTATTATAATAGGCGGGCCTACAAAGTGTATCAAGTAATACAAACATATTCGGACCAAGAAAACAAACTTAAAAGCCTGTATGGAGTCCTTAGAGAGGGGATGAAAGTACGCGACAGGCCGACTGTACCTGGAATCGCTATGTGGAGAGGAGGGTATCGTCTAAGACCCCAACCCCCAATGTTCGGCATCTCGGTTGGATGTTGCCGCGAGGCCAATGCTACCATCTCCACATGAAACCCCACGAGCCTACATCATATCTTGCCGTTGCCATTTTCTCTGTAGAATCTTGTCTTTATTTCTTATAGCACCAGTACAACTACAATTAGTTCACTATGCTCGACTCGGATCAATCTTGGCCTTTATGGGGCAATGACTCCCCCGACGGAGCATTCGATCTCGATACCCCAGGTGACAACGCCGTCGTGACCAAAGTGAATCGCCCTTTCTTATTCGGCTATCGCCCTTCAAAACCAAACGGCCGCGGTATTCTCATCCTTGGAGGCGGAGGATATGTTCAACTCATGGTCGGTCGCGAAGGCGTCGCCCTCGCAAAATGGCTCAATAGTCTTGGCTTCTACGCGTTTGTCCTAGTGCATCGCTTCCCGAACAGCGAAACAGGTGCTCAAGCGCCGTTGGATGATGGGAGGAGAGCTCTGAAGATCATGGCTGAGAGTGGACTTGCGCCAAAGGGTATTAGCATCTGCGGCCTCTCATCTGGCGGTCATCTCGGCGCCGCTCTTCTGTCAGAGTATCCTCAAGTCTGGACATCACCAGATCCCGAAATGCCTCAGATCGAGTTTGCCATATTGGGTTACGGACCTATTTCGACGAATGCAGCGGGTCGTACAATTATCGAGAACAAACCTCCTCTTCCACCAAAGGAAAAACAAGAACTGTACGACGTTGTACAACCGGATGTTCAGCTTCGATCTCCTGCGCCGCCAGTATTCATCGTGTACTCCAACAATGATCCAGTTGTACCTGTCGTCAACGCATATCGCTTAGCAGAGGGTTTTACAAAGAGCGGAGCACCTGTCGAGTTACACATCTTCGCTGATGCGCCTCACGGGTTTGCGCTGGATAGTCCGAGGGAGCTACCTGTATCAAAGTGGCCGGTTATGTGCGAAGCATGGCTGAAGCAGGACAAAAGGATAGAATGAGTCTTAAAAGTTCCCAGAGCGCAAAGCTATCATAGACTTCCATGGTATCAACACCAAACGCCCAGCAACTGACGTTATGTTTTAAAACAACTTCTTCACCTTCTCTCGTCTCTCCTCATCCTCGCCCCATCTATCCCCCCAGAGATCCGATGCTACATACTGCCATCCCATAGGCGCACCACCCATGCTCCATTTAGTCTTCATTTCGTTGAGAGTAACTGGGTTCACAAGTTCGTAAAGCTCCAGTATCGGATATCCGTACTTGGACTCCTTCCGTCCAGCGTTGAAGTCGTCATTGCCAATACCAAAAGGTTCGGTCGGCACAGAACCTGGTTCGTGGCGGGTGTTTGACGGAATCACTGCGATGTGTCTGTTAATCGGTTAGTCTAATTATTCTGGTCTCTGGAAAGAGTAATGTTTGTGTGCTGCACATACGTGATTGATGAGCGACCGCCTCCACCGCCAGTTTCGTAAATCCAGAGGCGCAAGACACCGTTTTTTAGACGATACTTGCGATACTCATGGTTCTTTTCTCGGCTGATAATATTTGCCAAGTGTTCGGGCTTGATGGCCAGTAAGACGTCGGTTTCAACTCGCTGAGCGCGAGTCTTTGATGGTGACATTGTTTCTGGCGTAGTACGGAGTACGTACTTGCTAAATGAGGGAATGTGGAGAAAGGAAGCGAATCGAAAAAGTCTAAGCTGACATCTCTTATCTTATCATATGCGGAGTATCTGCTCCGGGCCAAGCTGAACTCTATCATCGTGAGCAATTGCTGATCGACGAGAGTCAAAACTTGCAACATCTCCACGACATATCTCAAGCCGTAACAGTAAAAAAATCCTTATTAACTGCAAAAAAAAACATACAACACCGGGGATTCGCTGGTCGTCACCGACCCAACTACTAATCCAGCGCTTCGCAGCTTGACTATGGGAGAGCAGACGGGATCCCGTATTTTCTACGAGCTATGGTCGTATGTGACCTAAGGTGTTACTGTTCATCATGATAAAGATAGACATCACGAACAAACATTCTCACAAATGCCTTTGAGTTCAATAGTATTCAACGACTAGTTCCTTACTTTCGTAGTGGTTCAATCTTGTCTCTCCTCTGGAAGGAATGATATTTTATGCTTTCGCCTAAGCCGGACATTAAAATTACTCTGCTTCACGAACCATGCTGTACTAAAGTCAGTATCAAGCAAGGCTATCACAAGGTGGTGCTTGCAGATGTATGAAAGAACTCGGATAGGAAGAAGCTCACCGTTATTCAGATGCCATGTGTTATCCGCCGATGGGAATTCAAGCTAGGCCGACTTGTCAGTAAAGGGCACTTCAATCGACATTGAAACTTACCTCGTATCGCCTTAATAGAGCTGGAACCATCTTGTACATCTCGAGCAAACTGATGTTCTTTCCAATACAAGTCCTAGAGCCTGCACCGAATGCAAACATATAGTTCTCCATGCGTCTCTTTTGCTCAGTCGAAGCTTCGATCCACCTCGATGGTCTCCATCGATCTGCATCGCGACCGAAGATATCCTTGTTGCGATGTAGAACCCAAGCGTTGACTCCCACAATTGTACCGCCTGGGATATGATGACCGTCGACTTCAAGACCTCGCGCAGGGACAACACGCTCTAGCATGAGACCTGCAGCGGGATGGCATCGAAGAGCTTCTTTGACAACGGCGTTGAGGAAAGGAAGGTCCCGGACTTCATTCCAACTGACAAGACCATCTTCACGGGCGAATCGGCCGGCCTTTTCTTCCTCCGCAAGCTCAGCCATCAGAGTCTTCATGTCATCCGGGTTCTTCATCAGATAATAAAAGATAGCTCGGAAAGTAATCGCCGTCGTGTCAGAGCCTGCAAACATATTTGCTACGGTCAGAGCAAGCACTCTGTCGTTATTCATGAACTCCGGATCTTTCTGGTTGGCCTCGAGGAAGCGCGAGAGAAAGTCTCGACGGCCATTGTCTTGGTCGAACTTCATGTCACCGAGCTTCTCGGGATCAACGCGGGCGAGCATCCGGTTGCGCGCGAATATCGCGACCGGAGAGGATGAATTGGTGAAGCCCCATTTCGTAAGCTGTAGTCTCAGCGGGTTCTTGAGGAGTAAGCTATCAAGGATCGGTAGTTGTCCGACCTACATCACCGTCAGATTAGTAGACCCTGTCAGGATTATCGGCATACATACAGGTGCTGCATAGTTGAGCAACCATTCAAGATTTCCAATGATGTTATCCACGTCTTTTCCATGGTCCACGAATCCTAGCCGTTTCGAGTACGTTAATTCGCCAATGACGTCGAAGGCATAGTATTGTAGCCATGTTCCAAAGTCAAGTATGTCGTTCTGGTTTGCATATCGTTGGTCAAGTTGTTTGAAGAACTCGGTGGTCGTAGAGTCGACGAATGGCTCGAACTGAACGAGGGTACTCATGGCATAAGCATTTGATACGGATCGTCGAAGCTGCGAGTGGAATTTTTCATCTTGTGAGGTGAAGAGCGTGATGAGTCTCTTGCCGCTCTTGTTGATGGTCTGTTGCACCGGGCTACCACTTGTCAGTCGGGAAAGCTCTTTTCGTCGCCTTCGTGACTTACTAGAAATCTGACTTGGTATATCCCGAGTTGTGAGCGTATATCGTCTGGATAGCAGCTGGATCCGCGATTGATACCGTGTTGGGTCCGAGTCTCACGACGCTGCCGTACCTTTCATGTAGAGTGATCTGAGTCACCTCTGGTCGCCTTCGGTAAACATCGAGAAAGCGCCAGAGGTCCGTGAAAGCCGCCAAAGCAGGCCCGGGGATACCGTTCAGTCCATTGCCATACTTGTTCAGGAGGAGCTTTGTCACAAGGAGTCCGACGAGCGCAGCTGTCAGATACGCCCATGGGTGCTGGAGGAAGATATCCAGGATCATATTGTAGGCTTACAAAATATCGTAAATCTCATCTGGAAAATAGCAATGCGTGTCGAAGCAGTGGTCGATCCATTCCTTTTAATGACATTCTACCCCGCGTGATACATGTTTGGCGGTTTCGCAAGGTCAACGGCACTTACCAAGGTATCGGAAGTTTCCATGCGGGGTAATTTCCGAATAACATCACCAAAATATCGGTAACGTTCCGATTTGACTCCTTTATGAATTATCTTTTGACTGAGAGTTCAGGCCACGGGGATGATTCGGTATGTTCGGTAAGCTCTCCCCATCAATTGGGCCTTATTGTCGGGGGCTGCTGGACCTTTCAAAGTCATTTGGGACACTTAAATATTGATCTACATTGTCTAAGAGCCGTTCGCGCTACCTTTCTTGCCGTACATAAATACCAAATATTAGGCCGGCGTGATAAACTCTCCAGTCTCCAGAATCCTATCGCCTGGTTTCAGCTTGCAATGCGGTGGCCGTTGCCAGTTCAGAACCGTCTTGCCTTGTCCCAACAACCTTTTTCTCTCCGTACTCCAGAGCATTAAAAACTTTGTAGCAGGTTTACCGTCGTAGTATACGAACGTTTCGGAAAGTGGTGGTTGAGGAGTATCAGGCCAGTCGATGAAGTTGGGCGCTTCTGTGTAGGTAGTGATCTGTTTGCCTCTGCGACGCTTCTCAGACCACTCTCTGAGGACCTTACGAAACTCCGAGACCGGCTGGTCAAGTCGGACGTCTGGGTGCTGGACCCATTCCTTCTGTTCAATTTCCAGAACGTTTTGCTTCTCGTGCCGGACAGCACGCAGTGTTTCGTCGCGCGTGACGATCTCATAAATAGTGAAAATGACACCCTTGATATCATTGCGCGATTCGGCGTAGCCAGGTTCTCCAATCCGAACTGAGAAGTTAAAGTCAAATATCTTTATGAAATCTGCTTCCTCGTCGATAAGAAGGTTGCGGGGAGCGATGTCTTGGTGAGCGATACCAAGATTCAAATTAAGCTCATCGACAACGGCAACCAACTGAGTCAGCCACTTGAGTTTGAAAATCCGAGTTTTATTCTCCTCAAGCGTCCCTCCAGGAACGTATTCGTTTGTAAAACCCACGCAACGGCCCTCAATCTCATCCACCACGATCTTGTCGAAGGCCACGATGTGTGGATGTTTGGGCAAACGCACCCAAAGATTCATCTCATGCCATACATACGATAGGCGCTGTTCAAGAAAGTAATACTTGAAAACGAGCTATGACTATTTTTAGATCCTCCATATCCATGCCAGTCTCTGGGAGGTGCTTACCTTCTTGTCTGAATCCGAGGATCGTGGGCATCTCACAAGATCCACCAGTGGGCCTAACCGGTCAAGCTCTTCCAGTTCTGACCTTGAAATCGCCTCAATTCCATCCGGACGCTCGGTCGCTTCTAGAGGAGGGTGATATAGGCATCGAGTATTGTCGTCTTCCTGATCAGTGGATGTTGAGACTAAATCGCCTTGTGGTGAGACCCGGATCTCAAAGACATCGGCTGCGATATTATCGATATGTTTTTCAAGGTGTTCGATTGCTGGATCTTCTGACTCCAGCTCTTCATCCATAGTGACGGATACAAGGCGACGTTGGTCCCAATCCATGATATGCCAAGTGCTCGGGCCTCCCGGGTAAATATTACCGCTGGGAGCGAAGAATCTCTCTTCCGGCTTCAGCATCGTGAGTTCGTGGGGCCACAAATGATGATAGTTCTCGACAAGAATAGGTCAAAATAAATGAGAATTGGAAGTAAAAGAGGGTGGTTGAGACTGGTGATTTGAGGTTGAATCGCGAGTCTTCGTTGTTTTTGTACGCGAAACATGTCAGCCGCATGCAAGAGGCGGGCGCGTATTGAAACAACTCTAGCTGCTCAGCCACAGCACAACCTAGAGCACCAGATGCATGGCTGTAGATGCGCAAATGGTTTGGTGGAGCTCTTTCAATCGATATCCGTCAAGCACAGTCACATACTAAGCAGGCTTCATATTTATTTATTCTATTTGATACTTTTTGTTTCCAAAAGTGACGATAGCAACAAATACCTTCTTCTATAGGTTAGGCTGTGTAGCACTAACAATTAGATAAGTGATAAGCTGCAAAAGCGCGCCCTGTGATTCACTGGAACCTAAGCACTAACCCCCCTCCGCTTTAGCGTTCGCCTCTCTCATTCGTTGATTCATAAGTTATTTCCTCCTCGCCCTCGCATATTTCCATCTCTCTCATCATCTTGAATTCTTTTTCACTCACAAAATGGCATCAGCAGCACGAACTGTGCTGACTTTCCAGCGCAATGCAAAGCTCCATTCTTTACAAACGCTGATCACGGCAATTCGACCGTTTGGCAGCTTGGAGGCTGAGAATCGTGAGCTATTTAAGCAAGGCACCGATGAAGACTATGCAGTCGTCACAGAAGAGACAATCTTTCATCCGCAAGGAGGAGGTCAGCCTTCAGATGTCGGAAAGATGACAGATGAGTCTGGAGCGTCGTTCACTGTTGCATCTGCTCGTATGGATGCTGTTCGTGATGGCCAGGTCTTGCATTTCGGAAGATTCGACTCAGAGAAGAAGTTCACGGAAGGACACAAAGTCACGCAAGAAATCGACGTTGAGAAACGCCTCCTCTACTCGCGATATCACACCGCAGGCCATGTTCTCGGTTCAGCAGTCAACCATCTCCTCAAAGACACAGTCGAGGGCTTTGAGGAGCTTAAAGCTTCTCACTTCCCCGATTCCGCATCATGCGAATTCCAAGGCCTCATCGACGGAAAGCACAAAGAGCCCATTCAAAAGAAAGTAGACGAATTCTTGGCCGCCAAGATGCCAGTTGAGATTGACTGGTGGGACGCTGAGGAGTTTCGCAAGAATGGTCTTGAACACCTCACGCCCGACGCGAGCTTTTTGGGCCCCGGAGAGACCAAGTTTCGTGTTGTGAGAATTGTTGGAGCAGAGGTTTATCCATGTGGCGGAACGCATGTTGATACTACAGATCTATGTGGTGAGACGATTGTTAAGAAGATTGCGAGGAGTAAGGGAAAGTCAAAGGTTAGCTATTTGGTGAAATGAGGCTGTAGAGTATAGACATCATAGACTAGACAATGCCTAAAAATAGACCACGTGTTCGGCAGACAAAAAGCTGACAGTGTTCTCCGACCTGAGATCTTTGTATCAAGACACCGAGGGGTGTTTTCTTGTTATTGATTAAGCTTATTCTGCTCGAGAACCCGTGCGGTAACAACCTAATTTCCAGGTCATTCAACACGATATGGAATGAGAAGTGGCTCAATGCTACGGTGGCTTTCGCCAAGTTATCAAATATTACGACCCCCCACTAACGATGCAATGCAAATAAGAAATGTGCAATCCTACGCAAAAGCTGATTCCTCCAATGTGAGAGCTTTGTCGCAAGTCAAGTCAGATCTCACAGTTATCGAACAAGTATTTCCTCAGAAGTATACCTATCATGATTGGCAATTCCCCCACTGTCAGATGTATCGTCACATGGGGCCTACCATATGCAATGCGTGCATGGCAACCCCTGCAGCATGGAACCCCTGGCCGGCACCTCAGACACTTCCGACACAACATGCAGGGGACAAGATGGGACGAAACTGCCAATTGCGATATGGCTTGCTCGTATTGATCCATGTTCTGAGAATGTGATATATCAAATGTCATCTTTTCTCAACGGTCATCTTGCGTCATGATAATGGTCAGCAATTTGTCGCGGCAGTTCACGTTCCGGGGGCAAGTCTTTTGCAAGTCAATGCGATTGCGCTATCGTATTGAGTCTCAGTGTCCATGGTCACTAAAGCCATTCCCCCATGAAGTAAATACAAACAAAACTAATGGAAACCGTAAACCTCATAAAATACAAGAACAGGCCAGCCTGGTCCTTCTCCCTCCATCGACTCGCTTAGGCAGCTCCAGCAGCATCAGCCTTCTGGATCAGGAACTCTGGAGCAGCGCCAGAAGCAGCGCTCTGGTAGGCCAAGTGAGGAGCAGCGACGATGAGAGAGCCAGTGCAGACAAGATCACCAGCGTTGCAGAAGACCTTGGTGCGGTCCTCGGGGTAGCTGGGAATCTTTCCACGGTTCTGGAGGTTCTTGGTGTATCCAAAGAGAACAACTCCAGCGATCTTCTCACGAATACCAGCGTCAACGTCGGTGACACTAGCAGCGGCGAGAGCAGCACCCTGGCTGTAACCTCCAGCGATGAGAACAGCATCAGGACACTTCTGGTTAGCGTCGTTAAAGTGGCCCAGCATCTCACGGATAGCAGCGCTAGAAGTTCCGCGAGGAAGAGCGTTGTCACCAAGGGTAGCACGGTAAGCACCGCCAACGCCCTGGATCCAGACACCGTTCCTGCCGTACTTGGCCTCGAGCTTTGAAGCAACGCGGGGACCGAGAGTACCCTTAATAAGAGAGTTAGTTATGATCTGTCACCTGGGGGAGTTGGTGGGGGTTAAAAGGGCACTAACAAGGTTGCCGGACTCAGTGGAGCCGCGAGCGTAGATGAAGATGACGCCAGGGCATGAACCGCTGTTGCCGTTGGCAAGATCGTTGCGGGTGATGCTGCCGCCTAGCTGGCGAGCCTCGAGAGCAGCGGCATCCTGACCAGCGGGAAAAGCAGAGGCGGTGGCAGCGAGAAGAGTAGAGATGATGGAGAACTTCATTTTGGCAGTTGAGGCGAAGAAGAATCGAATACAGATGAGTTGGATTTGAAAGAAAGGCTGTTGAGTGAGTGAATGACTGAGAGGCTTGATTCCGTTCCATTAGCATCGAGGCCATCGTAGGTTTTTATCTAAAATGTCAACGAAACTTCCATCTTCCGCGCTTTCGCAAGTCTAACGCTTTTGGAATAACTTGGAGTACAGACGATGGATCACTTTTCGGTACCATCAGCAAAGAACAAGAAGCAAAGATCAAAGCAACCTCTCCATCTCCCGGAAACAAATCAAGAGCACACACCACCAAATCCGTTCGTTCTCAAACCTATCAACATGCATCCCACCAATCTCAACTCCCGAGTCATGCAAGAAGCCCTTGTCTGCCGCCGCCAAAACCAGTAGTCTCTTCGCAAGCCTTCATCAAAACGGGAAATGAGCCCCGTTGCGCCAAGTCAAGACCACTCCACTGATCATCGAAACAGAGCAATATGGCAGTATGAAACGGCGCCCTATGACCACGTTGCTGGGAACCAGTGTGCGCCGCTTTGACAGTTGCTTTTTTAGACAGGGACCTGAAACCACTGACTAGGTGGATGGCCTCAGAAGGGTGACCGTGGCAGTGCGCATTTATTCCCGGTTTCATACTAAAACCCGCTAACGTGGTCAGCCCATACCGATTCGAGCTTGATTGAGTCCTGGGTCTCAGGAATGTAAAATGACCTCGGTTCGGTAAGTTCCATGCACGCTATTTGAACAAGTGCAAGGTTGTATTGGCTACGTAAGTGCCAGATTGCGGGTAGTTCAGCGCTAGAGCATTAAAACCAGGCCCCTCGTTGACGGGAATTTGAGTTTTCGATAGATTGAGATAGTCGACAAGGTCATGGTGACTATGGCTTCTAGTTTCAGTCTAACAGGTTTTAGCGTTCTCGTGTTGTAGTTGAAACTGGCTTGTTTGACCCCTTGGGCTTGGGCAGGTGAGGCTTCATGACTCGGTATGAACTGATGATCTTCTTGTGCTCGGACACTAGAAGGTGTCAAGAACGCTCGAGCTAGCTGTCGTTCCGATAGCGGAATATGTCAAGTATGTCTAAAAGTATGCCTAATTTTGTTTTGGAAGAACGACGCCAGTAGAGATGTTAGCGCAGTTGGGACAACATCTTGGATCGGCATACAGACAGTGTCTACACTACAGCATCCTTAGGTTGATGATCATTCCGGTTTCCAAACAACGCCAAGATTCCATGATCGCGAGAAACATCGTATTGGCTCTAGACTGATTAGGCTGACTCGTCTCACCACCATCCTGATTTCGAGGCTGTGAACCGAGGCCCATCGGCGCTGTTATTATTCTGAGAGGAAGTAATATGGAATCTTAATACCAGCTTCAAGTTAACAACATTTCGTTCCGAGCCGAGGTTCATGAATATATTAATTCAACACCATCTCCTGTCTCAAACTCACCACCAGTTCAACTTTACCGAGGCCTGCCCTCAGATAAATGAAGACAACTCGAATTCATCACCACTTTGATCAGCGCCGGCAACCATTAGTTATACTGGGTCACATCCTTCGGGAGCCTTAGCTCCGTTGTCACTAAAGTTTAGTCTCAGCTCCCACCTGACTGGTACCGAGGTCTATCACTTTTGAGGTAAGGCCCTCCCAGCCTTCAGGTTCCAGCTTCCAAGTGCCTCTCGCAGGATTCTGATGGTGTGAACCCCGCAAAGTGAATCGAATGTGAACCAATTGAGCCAGTCTCACTTAGCTCAGCCATCATATCTCAATTCGCGACAATTGCCATTCACAGCTTAGTGAATTACATGCTTAATTTGTTGTCTAATTCCAAATTCTGCAGTTTTATCGACAGTTCCTTGATATAGAATATTCTCTGTAATGATACAGCCGAACGGGTTTCGCATGCCTGGGAAAGAAGTCGCAATTATGCAGCACCTCCTCGACTTCAACCCCTGTAAGGCACCGGCGACGTCAAATTCCATGAGCTTCGAGGCACATTCGGCGAAAACTTTATGTTGTAGGCTTCACAAGCCGAGGCAAACTCCCCTGTCTCTTCATCCTCGTCAACTTGCCGTATTCCAATAGACAGATGAACAACTAGCTTTTTCAGGAGAGGAAATGCTTGGGCCGAGATGTTGATTGTCTCCATAACCTCGTCTTGTACCAGGGGGTATATGCACTCCATTAAACCGAACTCCTTGATGGATTCTGGAAGCATTTGGCAAATTCTTTTTGTAGACAGACGGCCCTGGTGCCATCGGCAATACAGTATGTGGCTGTCGATGTACAGCGTCTCAAGGGCTTTCATATCTGAGAGATCTTGGAGTACTAGTTTGCCATCGATACCACCACCAAGAAAGTCGAGTGTGACATGTTTGAGCGTATCGCTTCTCAGCATCAAGATATCCTCAATTTTGTACGAGACACCTGGTCGTGCACTTGCGGCACCAGCAACTAACCAATATTCTGGTGCGCCAAACCGGAACGTTTGCAGTTTTGAGAAGCCGCGCATGATTGCTTCCAACCGACTGGTGTGAATTCTGCATGATCTCAGTATGATTTCGTTGACATTGCCGTGACAAAGGGCAATTTCTGACTCTTTGATCGGCTCCCTTAGATCCAAGCCGGCTAGTTCGAGACTTTCCAGCTGAGGCGCTGCGTCCAGTAGACCAGCCAGACTGTCGAGGTTGTCAGCTGGGAAACACTCTGAGACGGTAACAATAAGTTTCTTCAAATTCTGAAGATATCCAGATGGGACCGACCAGAATATCCGGTCGGTTTGAATGCAAATCTCAAGGTCATTGATCTTTGGTATCAAAGAGATAACAACAGAAAGGATGCAATCAATTGCAGTCCCGGCCATTCCCATGGTCTTTCCGAACAAAACGGGTATTGGAAACCTAAATCCGTAAAACGGAACCAAGGGATTTCTCTGGGCAGCGTCGCATAAATGAGTTCGATAGCGTTTGTCGCACTTGGCGAGAAACTCGTTTGGGTAGCCATGTCGACAAGCGAAACACCGAATCATTGTCGGGGTCGCATAGAGCTCCTTGACATGTTGACCAAGAGCCGGTATTCGACCAATGGTGTCAATGAAACCAAAGAAATCCTGCCCTATCGGTCGATGATATAAATGCGGTTGGGAAATACGCCTTAGTTGCTTGCATGTCAGAGATAAGGCCAATAGACACTCTCTGCCGTGAATCGCCATCGGATCTCTGTCAAAGAAGCATCGAGGAGATCTTCGCATGCTGCAACAGGGACAGAACTGCTGGCATACACGGTCGATGATCTCCTCAGGAAAAGAGAGAAGATGGGTGGAAGATGGGATCACCATGGTTGTATAATGATTTAAGCAGGAGAGAATCGGCTGGTGATGTTGAGTCCAGATTTGGCTGTTTTATAATGAGCTGAGAAAAATTAAAGTTCTAATAAATAAAGTCAAAATGAAAAGCTTTTGGTGTTGGTTGAGCTTGTTTGGCTTTTACTATTTTGCAAAACGTTTAACTCAATTTAGCTTTAGCATGCTATCGCTACGTACAATCCCATTCGATCTTCTTTTTTTTTAATCTTACAGCTGGTTTTTGACTTCGGATTTGAGGTACAGGATCCTCCCTTTTTGCTATCTTTGCTGTTTTGTGAAGCATATCAACTAAGAATATTTCAATATTTACTCTCAACGCAGGGTAAGTCAGCAGTGTCAAAACACTACGTCACTCACACTCAGCCAATCATTCTGCGAAGCTGTGAGGCACAGTAGGACTAACCTTATCTATCAGTCAGCCGAAAAGTCTCCGGATCAATGACCTCTCTCCCATCTCATGCATTTCTATTTCGAGATCCGGGCCATCTAAAACTCCGGCCGCCCGACGCCTCCCTCCGTCGTTTTTGCACCAAAATCTCACTGCATAACCAGCCTCGCTCTCCTAACTAAGAGGGGGAATTTGGGGGCCGTCAATTTGAACCAGTGGCAGGGACAAAATCCTCCTCACCTCTCGCCCGTTGCTAGTCAAATACTGTCTTTTTATTTCTGTCATATAGGATGTAGTGAAACTCCGAGTGACCCCATCACATTAACCGAAGCACTCTCACTGGCCTTCTGCCTTCGACGCTGATCCTTCGGCGCAGCCATGACGGTCTTGGGCAGGATGTTCTCTGCAAGAAGTAAAAAAAGAAATCGGATGACGAAATACCGATGATACCTTATTGAAACCTGGAAGAAGGACACTTCTTCAGATTACAAATGCACTCTCTCTCTCTAAGCCTTTTCTGAATAATTAATCCTCCGAAGGATCCCATGGTCTCCATAAGGCTGGCCCCAAAAGTTCGTAACCGAGCTTGTCGCGTGTCTTGTTTGACTAGAAATCCACGCGTTTGATTGGTAGGGCTGATCTGTCTGCCTTGGATACCTCCCAAATTTCTCCGCATCAGCCTTCGCTGGGTGAGCCTCTCACCATGGGCTGCTTTAGTCGTTTTTCGGGATGGAAGCTCACAGCCGTGTACCTCACCATTCTCGTGAGCACGCTCACGACGCTCCTCTTCGTCACGCTTTTCGTGTCGCTGTTTGGGCTGAAGCGTGACGATGGAGATGATGCGCTTACCAGTGGGAGGGATGCTGGCGATGCGCTGGGCCAGAGTGTTTTGTACAAGGGGAACTGTGATACAACGTCGAAAGCGAACCTGTGGATTCATTTGCTCATTAATATTGTGAGTACTGGCATTTTGGCGTCGTCCAACTTCTTCATGCAAGGGCTCGTTGCGCCGACGCGAGCTGAAGTCGACGCTGCGCATCGCTCAGGTCATTGGCTAGAGATTGGCGTTCAATCACTCAAGAACTTTCGTTTTTTGGGCTGGCGAAAAGTCCTCTTTTGGTCTTTATTCTCCATGAGCTCTGTGCCGCTTCATCTCGTCTTCAACGGTTGCGTGCTAGAGAGTAAAGGCACCAATGGCTTTACAGTCATGATCGGCTCCCAGGAACTCACCCAGGGAGGTTGGAAGGGACTTCCTTCAATCACGGCAGCCTACTTCGATAGATTGAACTACAGCGATCAATCACAGGGCGACGGTAACCCCGAGTCTCTGGAGAAGCTAAAGCCCATCAATGACTCTTTCGTGGTTAACATGACGAGTGGAAATTGGGTAGAACTACCGCTGCCTGAGTGTATCAATCGATACAATAACCCCGAACAAGCCTTGACACATTGGCGACATTTAATGATGATAATCTACGACTATGACGACATATACCGAAACGAAACAGTTGGCTGGAAACGAGCTGATGTGCTGATGAACACGACAAACACAACCGATCTCAACGTCATGAATCCTCTCTGGACAGTGGACGCATTTACACGCACCGGAAGGACATCTGAGGCGAGCGGGAGTAACAATCAGTACATGTCAAACCCTGAACCCAGTTATCTGGTTTCTACTCCACCAGATGAATATGGCAACACTGGGCCATCCGCGCGCTCTTACTTGAACATCTACGGAATGTGGGATATGCAAGGCACGCGCAATGTCTTCGACCCTCAATCCGGTGCCATCATCACAGACCCAACGGTTTTCAAGTCCAAGTATCGCGTTATGCAGGTTGATCGATGCTACTCGGAGAAGTACGAGGCGCCGTGTAGATTAAGCATAGCCAACAGCCTCTTGCTCATCGTCTGCATCATGTGTCTCTTCAAGACCGTTCTGTGCCTTTTGGTTCTGAAACTTCGTGTTTGGGGCGATGAGAATCCGCTCATGACGCCGGGAGATGCGATCGCGTCGTTCATTTCGAGACCGGATGAGGAGACGAGGGGTATGTGTACTTTGACTATGGAGGATCTGAGAAAGACGGCGAAACCTACGCCGACTAGGTTGGGGGAGACAAATCAGAATTATAAGTGGCTGCAAGGACCGAGGCAGTGGCAGAACAACTCACCTCGCAGGTTTGGAAAGGCTGTTCCTCGAAACATCTGGGTCCTGTCGTCTCTGCTCATAGGCTGTTCTCTCATCGTGGCTTCCGTCATGCTAAGTATCGCTATCCAGGGTCAAGCTCTGTAAGTCAACCTCCATCTATACACTGGAAAAGCCTAACCCCACCAAAGGAAAAATTCCAAATTCATGCACGCGCCGCAGAACGAAGACGTGAAGGACGCCCATCTAGATCGGCTCCCTCTCATCTCACTCACCATGGTTGCCAACACACCGCAGCTTATCCTCTCCATCTGCTACCTCGCGTACAACGGCCTCTTCACACGCATGCTAGCTGAGTTTGAGTGGTCAAAGTACAGTGTTGCATTTCGTTCTCTGCGTGTGACGGAACCGCGCGGGTCGCAGAACGCGACGTATCGTCTTCAACTTCCTTATCGGTTCTCGATCCCTTTGATCATAATTAGTATTGGGCTTCACTGGGTCTATTCCAACTGCATTTACGTGAGCAATTACGAAGGTAAGCATACTTACCCCAAATGGTTAGCTGTCCAGATTAGAGTGCTGACACACGATAGCATACGCCCCTGGATATCCGTATAGCAGAACCGTCACAGTCGGCCTTCAATTCTCATCAAAGGCTATCTTGGTCGGTCTCTTGGTATCGATCGGTGTCGCCATCACGCCACTCTTCCTCGCCTTTGTCAAACTACCAGGCGTGATGGTTATCGCAGGCGCAAACTCGGCAGTTATATCCGCAGCCTGCCACTACCCCTCTACAAAACTCAAATCCCTTAGCCGTGCAACGTCCAAGATGAGCATGAGAAGCAACGAGTACGACAGCATGAGCGCTCGACTGATAGGCGATGAAGAAGTAGAAGAACTCAGGGACGTATCGAGGCGAAAGATCAAATGGGGAAGGATGTCGATGGGCAAGAGTGACGAGAGCTCAGTCGGACATCTCGGCTTCGGTACGGAGGAGCTTGATATCGAGAAGCCAGTAGAAGGAGAGTATTACAGTGGCGTGAAAGATGACTATGACGAAGGATTGAGGAGAATGCGGGTGTTGTAATGATAACAGAAGTTCTGGACGGAATCCTTCTGATGGATTGTACTACTACGTTACGCGCTGGATAAAATCGGTGGCGAATGGCCTATTAGATAGATTCTTGTACATAAAATAATAATTTCCACGATCATCACTGGCTGCTTTGCCTCCTCTCCCCAGAAATTAGTGGCTGCATTCCTTACGACAGATTTGGAAGTATTAAAGGTCGTAACACGATGAATTGAGAAATGACCTTCCCCACGAACGTTAACCTAAGGCTATTCTTATCGTAGCATGGGGTCGTGATGGATAAGGGACCGGCAAACCGGCATCGGCGTCTAATAAGTCGCCCGCATCCAAAACAGAAGTTCCTCAGCTTCGATGGCGCACTAGAACACGTTGGTGTTGATTCGAGCGGCCGATCTAGCAACGGGACGCCGATAGCCGTATTTCCATATCTGTGCCACCTCTTGAGCGCGAGTGGCTTATCTCTCGCCTCTTACGTAGGAGCCGTTGGACGTACGTTAGCGGTTCTATTCCCGCGCAAGACCCGCGTCAGCACATGAGTAAGATCTCACGCTTTTTTCATGATGCGACAACGTATCGTTTGCGAAATTACAAGATTAAGCATATGAAACCCCCCAGAATTGCTAATATCAACGATTAATACCATCGGCACTTGAACGTGTCTCCCGGCTAACTCGGCGATAGATGGCTTGATAGACCAGGGTCTGAAAATGGGACTGACTGCCCAATCCAGCGCGACCTCGGCTGATCTAGCCGGTCTTGGCAGGTCACCTCGCACCAATGCCGATTTACCAGGACCTTTTGTTGCTAACTCGCACCCAAAGACGCGTGATCTTGCGGGGAAGGGGAAGGGGGGGCAGAGAGAGGCAAAGGTGCTGTTAATAGGGGACATGTCACTGGCTTGCAATTCTTGGTTGATATCGAATGGGGCGAGTCGCAGTGTCGCATGTCTTGCAGTCGATATCAGATACGAAATGAGTCCGGGCTGGGCCAACCGAAACCGCAAATAACTTCGGGAACAAGAGAGGAACTTTTGGCAGCTTGGGTCCTTTTGAAAAGTTCCTGTGCCATTGTGTTGGGTATTGCCGTCCTATCCAGTATGATAGCGTGCCGAAAACCCGGAATGCCTTTGATGGTCTAGCACGACTGTAGCATTGGCGATGATCATCTTGGTGTTTTAGATATCTGGGTACAAAACATGTTGCATCGCCCTGCCAAGAGCTTGGGTTTCATCGACATCCTTTCTTCTCCATGTTTATGTTTTAATTCCTTTGTTAAGCTACAATGAGTATCTCTGAGAAGGAGACCAAACCGGAGAGCCCTTCTTCCAAGGCGGATATCTATCC